GCCAGGAGAAATAAACTACATCCAATTTTAAAATTTAATTACGTAATCCCAACTCAACATAAACAGTATTTGGAACTAGTATTGAGTAAGTCCTCCATTTGCTAGTTTCAGTGCTTGTATTCAATTTTTCATGGATTTGATCAAGTTATCAACAATCGTCTGAGCCATATTTTGCCACTCCTTTCTTTAAGGGTTGCCACTGACGTGATTTTGGTTACCCGCTCTCAAAGTCTTCGGTAAAGGTGCTCCCAAACGTGCTCTATTGGATTCATGCCAGGATTTTGGGATACCCATGACAGTGACTTGATTCCTTGCAATTCCTTCCAGGCCTTTGCTACTTTACTCGTATGACATGGCGCTCCATCTTGAAAAAGGTAGACATTCTTGTTAATCTGATTGGTTTCAAATACTGGCAGTAGTCCTTTTTCTAATATTTGACAGTATTTTGGACCATTCAACTGCTCGTTAACAAGAATCAGCTCAGATTTCCCTCCAAACCAGACAGCGCCCCACACCATTATTCCAATCCCTCCATGTTCCACGGTCGCCTGCAGATATTCAGTGTTCCAAGTCTCATTCTGATTTCTCCAAATATAAACCAATCTGGAATTAGAATATTGGTAGAATTCACTTTCATCTGACCAAATTACAGACTGCCAAAATTCATGACGACGGTTTCTGATGACTTCCCTATTCAGTGTCCTTTTCGTTCGCTCAGACACGATGCTTTGTCTTCCTGAACGTTGTTCCACATGACAATGGCCTTCTTCATTAAATTTCTTGACAATATTATTAACCGTTTAATAATTAACCTGGAAAAATCTATCAATTTCTCTATTTGACTTGCCACACTGATGCCATCCTATTATTTGCCCTCTTTGAAATTCACTAATTTTCTTACTTCCACGAACTTTCATTGCAAAATATAAGTCAACTATCGTTCATAGACAAGAGAAGCTTGATACTAAGACGGTATTGTCTGATAAAAAAAGAAGAGACGTTATTAAACTAACCAAAATTGCTAAGGGTAGCTAAAAACTTATCATAGTCCACTGTAGGCACATCTAACACCCGAGGGTTTGAAATCTTTATCTTTTGTTAAGGTATTCAATTATGATAACAAGCAGTGATGTAGACTTTTGCTTTTCTTTTCAGATTTTAATGATGTAAACTGCTCACATTCATATTTTAAAGATATAAAAATAACATCATGTTTTCAAAAGATATACAGGGTGTTTCAAAAAGAATACGCCAAAATCATCATGTGATGTGTCAAAAACGAAAAAAATTACAAACCTCTAGCATGAACACATGTGTTGTATATACATTCAAGTTTCATTTCATGTTTTATAAATGCTCAATGTGGCAACCACCGGCAGCGCGGACAACATCAAGCCGATATATCTTTCATCGATACTTGCTGGAAATGCTGGAACATAAACTTGGTTTTTAACATCTTGTTCTTGTTCTTCTTTCTTCTTGTTCTTGTTCTTGTTCTTGTTCTTCTTTCTTCTTGTTCTTCTTCTTTCTTCTTCTTTCTTCTTCTTCTTTCTTGTTCTTATTTCTTCTTCTTTCTTCTTGTTCCTCTGGTTCTTTCTTCTTCTTCTTCTTCTTCTTCTTCTTTCTTCTTCCTTCTTCTTCTTCTTCCTTCTTCTTCTTCTTTCTTGTTCTTCTTCTTCTTGTTCTTCTTCCTTCTTCTTCTTCTTCTTTCTTCTTCCTTCTTCTTCTTCTTGTTCTTCCTTCTTCTTGTTTCTTCTTTTTGTTCTTCCTTGTTCTTCCTTCTTCTTCTTCTTCTTTCTTCTTCTTCCTTCTTCTTCTTCCTCCTCCTTCTTCTTGTTCTTCCTTCTTCTTGTTCTTCTTCTTCTTCTTCTTCTTCTTCCGCCTTCTTCTTGTTCTTCCTTCTTCTTCTTCTTGTTTCTTCTTCTTGTTCTTCCTTGTTCTTCCTTCTTCTTCTTCTTGTTTCTTCTTTTTTCTTCTTTCTTCTTCTTCCTTCTTCTTCTTCCTTCTTCTTCTTCTTCTTCTCCTTCTTGCGTCTATTATTTCCTGATTTGTATTCGCCATCTTTTTTCGAGTTTCATGGTTCCATCTTTTGTTTTATTAGCAGTGGTAAGTTATTTTTTATGTTTTTAATGTTATCATTTCGGCTTCTATCTAGCTTTTAAGTTTTGTTTTGTCTCTTAAGATGACTGTATTAAAAAGGTTTGACTAAAGAAGAACGAAAGGTCGTTCTTTAAGATTCTTTTTATTTAATTTTTTAGGGTTCGAATCATTTTTCTGGTTTCCGGAGAAATTTGAACATAAATTGTCCAATGACATTTGAGAGCTACCAGCTTTCCATTATTCCATTGAACCAGAATAACTGATTTATTAACACTGCCAAACTCAGGGATTGAACTTATGACTGCTAGGAAACCATATATATTTAACCAACGTTTTAGGTTACATCTTTTTGGACATATATTCTGTTTTTTATACTTTGGCTCAGCGGACAAGTGACACAAAAGTGATATTTTTATATTGAATTTCATATAATACAAGGCTCGAAAGCCCCTCAAGGTAGAGGGTTACTATGAAAATGGTTATGAAGAATGAGGTGTGTGATAAATATTAATTGACTAGCTACTCTTGCCATATAAAGAACGACTGAATGTGACCGGCGAAACGGTCGATCAGTTAAATATCTGTCTGACCGATTGAACTTTATATTTAAAAGGACAATATGAATAAAGACAAAAGGAAAACTCATCTTAGCCGACACGTTTCGTTCTCTAATAGACTTTATCTAAGGCAAATCTAAGGGTTTTATCTTGCAACAACTATTTAAGAACAACAGTAAAAAAACGACTGTGTGTACGCCATTCCATGCAACCGTTTCAAGAAATATAAAGGAGAAACAGACTGTCCCCTACAGGAATACCATAAAGCTGTAACACGAGAGGAAAGACAGAAATCAGGCATGGCTGATCATATAGGGAGTGAAAAGGGAGATCACTACCGTCTGTAGATGAGAATGAAATAATAGACAGAGAACATCTCTGGAAGATACGGAAACTTAAGGAATCAGTGCAGATCTCCTAAGCCAGCCAAGCACAGACATGAATACAATGTGGGAAATAGTAATACAGGGGGCTAGAGAAAAAAAACCCCCAAAAAACAGCAATAACCATAAATCGTAATATGAGCTCTGGTAAAAAAATGAATAAGCGTTGGTTGAAGTAGTGCAAAAGTGACTTAACCCAGAGTTGTGAGTTCAATACCTGGCTACAGCTGGGGTGAACAAAAACTTGGAAAGTGGAGATACTAAAGGGAATTGACTGAAATTGAGATATCCAGAAAAGGCGTGACATGTGGAACTAGAGCAATATAACCCCGTAGACTAAATAAAGGGTTCAGTTCGAAATCCCAACGTATATCACCTGAAGAAGGCCGGAGCGTACAACGGGCAAAACATCGTGGATATGACAATAAAGATGAGGATAGCAGTCCGAACAATGTAAATAGTCACAATATTCATCTTAGAAATATAAACTGATGTTAAAAGTAAAAAAGTTGTTAACTTTACAAACTTTTTAAATTTAAGAACCCTCATAAATAGTCAGTAAATTATGGAACATGCTAAGTGACATAATTTAATGTCTAATAAACGAAAGTAAGTGATGTTGTTGATATTTTTATGCAATTAATATTTAAATTATTTTAGTTTGAGATTAATATAAGTATTATAGATTTTAAATGACAAGAAGTTATCAATTTAACCGTTTTCTTTTAATTTTTTAAAACATCTTTATAGTCGTATTAGTTGGCTTTGGGTTAAAAGTAATTCTTTCAGAAATGAAGATACTTGAAAAAAATCCGCGGTGTAGATTTATATTTTGATAAGATTCGATAGCAGCACTCTTGAGAATTTTCCGTCTCAGTTACTTTCTCTTTTAATAAATGCGGCATTCTTTAGATGAAAGTTGTGGTTGAATTGATTTCTATGTATTACTACTACATTTGATAAATTATTGTGTAGAACATCCTTTTTGTGTTCATAGATACGTTTTTTTATTTTCTGTAAGTTTCCCCAGTGTATTATGAGGAACAGTTGTGGCAGTTTATTTTATATAGACCTACTTTGAAATTATTATTGTTCTGCATATTTTTGGTTCTGATCATATCTATAATAGTTTTGGATGTGGTTGCTATTATTTTGATATTGTTAAGATTGGATAAATTGTTTTTCCAAAATTTCCAGTACCCTCATTATTTCATGCACAATCCTAAGAGAAAGGCATACAAAATATACAGCTTCAGAAAGATAATTGTTGTAGAGTAGTTTCACAGCGGAGGCTTGTATTTGTACTAAGTCGGTCCTAAAATAGGTTCGACATACAAAACGTTAGGAACTTGATATAAGATTTAATGACGCAGCAATCTAGTTGTGGTGGCTGATACTTTAATATCCGACTAACGGTCGTCCGGCATCGACTGACTTACCAACTCGCTGAGAGACTGTCGGCTGCTACTATTCCTACTTATTATAGGTGGGAGAGTCTATTAACTATAGAATAGGTGTGTTCCAGTATAACAATAATAACATTATTAACAACACTGATAATAAACAAGATACTAACAGACATATAATACTACCGACTGTTAGTAACAAAATGTGCATTTAAAATCAAAGTATCAAAACAAAAAGGATTCGCCATAGGATAACAGATCTAAGAAAAAGAGGGGGATGATTTTAGGATTGACTGATTTGTTTTTTAAGGCTTATCAACCTTTTTAGGTTATTTAAAGCCAGAACTTATTTTTAGATAGTAAGAATTTTGGGCAGTTAATAATTATTTACTCATATAAGTCCTACTAATTAATCCATAGCTAGTGGGAGGGAAGAGTTGGATTCATGCCTTTCCCGAGAGCATTTGCATGTAGGTAAATATAATGAACCTGACTGGAAATAGGACTCTTTTCAATCCCGGGCCGTTATTCATCACACCTCCCGCACATCCAAGCTTACAGCACCTGGTATTCTCAAGTGGTCACTCATCTAGGTACTGACCAGTTTCGACGTTGCTTAACTTTGGTGATCGTACGGGAACCATTGCCACAGCGTGATATGGTCGTAAGTTACAACCACTTAGAAAGTATATACATATACCGCCGGTATCGCCATGGGTTCATCTACCGCATTAACGCTATGAGAATTTTCATGTTCAATCTAAGAAAAGTAAATTTCAAATTTACACTTTAAAACTGTAAGCCAGTTTCTTTTTATGTAAAGATCAGATAAAAAGATAGTAGCGGAAAACTTTAAAACTTAATATCTGATTTAATCCCCCCCCTACCATCCATCCATTTTATGGCTCCCAGCTTGTGTTAGGTGACTTGAATAATTAATGAGCCTCGGGTCTCTTCAGTATAAATGCCAAACAAGTTCGCCCCATCGCAAACACCTTAAGTATCAGGAGATGAGTTTGCTTGACACATACAAGATAAACATGTTGAGAGATAAGGAAAACGTAAAAACAATAAATATTGGATCAAGAAAGAGGAAAATAAAGTCAAGTGGAAAGAAAGAAAGAAAGAGAGAAAGAGAGAGAGAAAGAGAAAGAGAGAGAGAAAGAAAAGAGAAAGAGAGAGAAAGAAGAGAAAGAGAAAGAAAGAGAAGAGAGAAAGAGAGAAAGAGAGAGAGAGAAAGAGAGAAAGAGAAAAGAAAAGAAAAAGAGAGAGAGAGAAAAGAGAAAAGAAGAGAAAAGAAAGAAAGAAAAAGAGAGAAAGAGAAGAGTGAAAGAGGGAGAACGAGAGAGAGAGAGAGAGAGAGAGAGAGAGAGAGAGAGAGGGAGAGAGAGAGGGGGGGTAATTTAAAAAAGGTACTCAGCTGATGACCAAATCAGGAAGTTTGACCAATATTTAAAATTCGACTGAGCAAAAATACGAGTTGTTCTCCCCCAAAAAATCGAAACAAAGAAAGAGAGAATGTAGTTAATTATTTATTGGTCTTTTACGGTATATCAACCCTTTAATTATTACCAGAACAAGGATTAGGAGAGATAACGAAAAGACAAAATTTATTAAGAGCTACCAAGGACGTGAAATTGTGGAGAGCCATGATCGCTAAAAGGACACAACACATAGAAGAGGAAGATCATGCATTTCTATGGGTTATAAAAACCGAAACATATTTTGGATTGAAAGAATAGTGGGGTGGGGTGGGATAAAATCAGTGTTTGAAAGTGTGTGTGTGTGTGGGAGGAGGCTAAAAGCTGTTAGAGGTGGGTGGCTAAATCAGTTGTTAAAGGTCGGGGAGGGTATAAATTGGTTGCTGACAGCAAGTTGGGCTAAAAGCTGTTAAAGGTGTGGTGGGGGCTAAGTCAATTGTTAAAGATTGGGAAGGGTTAAAAAATCAGGTTTTTTTTTAAGCATTTCACCCCAAGTAAGGCGGGAAGCCACTAGGACGCAAGGGGTTACAGAAAAATTGGAGCAAGATCAAATAGGAGTGATAGAGGAAAGGATGAAGGTAGTGGATAGATCAAGGCAACTGGAGATGTCGATTGACATTACACTTGAATAGCTGGAGATTATAGCTCACAGGGAAACAGGAATAGGGAAGGGAGTTCCACAGGCGAGAGGTGTGAGCTATTGGAGTAGAAGAGACGGCTACATTTAGGAGATTCGACAATGAAAGGGTGAGAGTGGGATGCCAGCCTCGTAAGGCGCTGGAACTCATGACATCCGGGAACCAGCGAATGCAGCTCCTCGGAGCAATTTCCATGAAAGTATTTGTAAAACAGACAGAGAGAGGCGACGGCGCGTCTGTGAGAAAGTGACTGTAGACAAGATGCCAGAGCAGGGCTAACTATATTGCATATCCGCCTCTGGAGCCTATCAAGAACCCCGAGGCAAGCAGAAGGGGCTCAAGACCATATATGGCAGCAATACTCCATGCAAGGGCGAATTGTTGAAAGGGGGGAGAGGGAAAAAAATCAGTTGCTGAAAGGGGGAGGGGGGCTAAAAGTTGTTAAAAGCGTGTGTATATGCAAGGGCGCTAAATCAGTTTTTACGGTTTAAAGATGCCTGTTACTACATTCTTTTTTAATAGGATCCTATCTTAATTCTTTTTTATTGATTTATTTGTGTTTTACGGTTTATCAACCCATTGCAGGTTATTTAAACCCAGGAAATATTTTTAGATAACAATAATGGTTTCATCCCAACGAGAATTGAAATTCGGATCTCCGGTTAACAATTCCATATCATTATCTATTACACCACATGCATATCCAAGCTTACAAAACCTGGCATTCCCAGGTGGTTACCCATCTAGATAGCGACCAGGCTCAACGTTGCTTAACTTCAATGATTGTACGGGAACTGGTGTTACAACGTGATGTGGCCGAAAGCCTTTCTTTCTTACTGTAAACATTTCTTTTGTTTTGATTTTAAATACATAATATTTTCATTTTTTTCGCTTTTATTTATTTTCAGGAATGAAACCTATAGATATTTTCTACATAAAAGACCTATACAAAAAGTTTAAGAAGCTAATGTTTATAAAAAAAAATAACAACAACGAAAATTAAAGTGAAGTTTAATTGTTTATTTTGAAAATTAATAGCAATAATTATTGTAGCCAAATAATACAATTCAGCTGAATAGACTTGTCATAGATTCAGGTCAAATTGATACTTTCGTTCAGTTTACTTGTCAATTGCTGCAAAAATGGTGGTGTTGGTTGAAACACCCAGTCCCACCCCTTTTCTCTCGTGGATGTTAACTCCATAATTGCTTACGCAAGCTTGTAAAATCGTAAAACTTAAAAACAAATGGGATAATATATTAGGTGCACAGAAAGTTTTACGGTGCTTTTTTGAAAAAAAAATCTATCATTAAGAGCTACATGAGCTTTTAATTTAAATTTAGCATATTTTCAAAGTTATTGATCAGGCAAATAACACACATATATTTGTGTGTGTACGTACGTGTGTGTATATGCATGCGTGTATATATATATATATGTGTGTGTGTGTGTGTATATGAGTGAGTCAGTCGTTCACTTTGGAACCGACTGCTCGGTTGAACTCTCTTCCTACGGACGGGAGGAACCCGAAGGAAGCTACGCCGAGGTAAACCGGCCCTGAACCTGTTTATACGGGTTCAATGGGCATATTTTTGGCCGAGCCCACGGGCTTGGAATGCCCACGTTAAAAAGGCCTTGTGCCACATGACACCCTCGTGGGGGTGGGGGGTGACTCAATATTGTGTGTATATGTGTTTGTATAATTTAATTACAAAATTAAATTCGGAGCTTTCAGCTTCCATTTTTGAAACATGGTTAGAACTGTGTAGTGGAAAAAACATTTTAAATCAATTAATTTATAATATTAATGCTCTGTAAATTTACATTGAGCACTATTTTGCAAAACTGAAAGTATCTATAAGAACACCGGATTATATATCTTACTGTTCTTTCTTTATATATATATATATATATATATATATATATATATATATATATATATATATATACTAGTTACATTTAAAATTTTCTTTTTGAACAGTCAGATGTCAGTTTACCTGGAAAGGGACAATGCATTTATCAATAAGAAGAAATTAATGCATACAAGGTTTCACAGTCAACCTATGAACTTTTCCTCCCATCATCGTATCTGGAAAGAAACAATACAGTTATTAATAAGAAGAGTTGAAAATAATGACTGCAAGATGTCACAGCTTTAGCATCATTCCTTCATAGTCAGTCCATGAACTTTTCAGCCCACTCGAGTGTACCAATTTCTAAAATATCAGATTGAATTTTTGTTACATAAAAATAAGTTTTTAGCGTTTTTCTGGGTCGAATACATTGGAAACCTTTTTTCTTTGCCTAAAAAAACACAGAATCGTAGAAGGCTTTTTTTTTTTCGTTTAATCAGTATTTTTAGTGCTGACATTTCTGGCAATCGGGATTATTTGACAAATAAGACACCACCCCACTCCACCAATCATTTCTGTCGCTGAAAGTTGAGAAGTCTTAATGTCTCGGTGACCTAGTTTTTGAAACAAAAATACGAAATTTTGTCTTTGACTGGCACTACATTCAAGACTCGTCTTTATTTACATTATTCGGATTATTGTCCTCATCTTTGTCGCCATGTTTATCACAACGTTTCGGTCGTTGTACGCTCCGGCCTTCTTGGAATGTCAGTCTGAACCCTTTATTTTGCTCACTAGACTGTTCTAGTTTCACGTGCCATGTTTAATGGATGTCAGTTATCGCCTGTTAATTCCCCATCGCCTTAACCAGGTATTGAACTCACATTCATTGGGTTCTTTTACTGGATCTAACTAACACGTTTATCCACTGTGCCATGTATCCTTGAGGACATCTGTGCATGAATTTCTGGGTATTATAAAACTAATGTCTTTAGCAACCATATTTACCATTGCTGATATTGCAATTTTTGCTGTTATCATTTTATATTTTTTACCAGAGCTCATATTGTAATTTTTGCTGTTATTAACGCTTTTCTCTCGCATTCCTTATTACTGATTCCCATATTGTATTCATTTCTATGCTTGGTCCTCAAGGACACATGGCATAGTGGATAAAGCTACAACGGCCGAAACGTTGTGATAAACATAGCGACAAAGTTGAGGAAAATAGTCCGAATAATGTAAATAGTGTACATAATATCTCATCTCAGAAATATAGACAGATACTCGTCTTTATTTATACAGGATGCGACAGAAATACCCCTACATATACCTCCAAGAATTACCCACCACATATACCTCCAAGAACTACCTCTCACATATACCTTCAAGAATTACCTCTCACATATACCTCCAAGAATTACCTCCCACATATACCTCCAAGAATTACCCCCCACATATACCTCCAAGAACTACCTCTCACATATACCTCCAAGAATTACCTCCCACATATACCTCCAAGAATTACCTCCCGCATCCAATACCGCCCACATAATGGTAGGACATTAGTGGCAATACTGTCTTTAGCTACATTGTTCCCAGTGAAAAGGCGGCAAATTTATTTTTCGGGAAAATATACCAGCTGTACTTGTTCCATCTCAGTGGCTCTCTAAAAGCTTAGATCTGCATGCTTTGGATTACTGTATGTGGAGTATACTCCTAACTTATAAAACCGTCGTCGTGAAATCATAGATATTGATTCATTGAAGTGGAACTTAACTGAAGCTTAAAATGAAGTTCCTCTTGACACTATTTGCAATTCTACTGCCTTTCTTCCCGGTCATCACGTTTACAACTTTGTGTTGAACAATCAGACAAACATTTCAAAGATCTACTATGATTGTTCAGTTTGTGCATACATCATGATAGCGAAAGAAATTTCTTGCTGAACTGACCGCTTTTTTTGCTGACCATCCTGTAGTTAATATCGTACCATTATGTGGGAGGTTATTTATTTTTTACAATGTGGTTCACCCTGTATAAGACTGGGTACAAGGTTACAGATTAAGAAGCACATTTTATGCGGGGAGGTGGGAAGATATATATATATATATATATATATATATATATATATATATATATATATATATATATATATATATATATATATATATGTATATATATATATATATATATATGTATATATATATATATATATATATATATATGTATATATATGTATATATATGTATATATATATATTTATGTATATATATATGTATTGTAGAGGGCCGTGGCTGTTATGTTGTTGATAGAAGTCAGACGTAGAAGAAACGCATGTAAGGTTCAGATACTCCTGCCCGCCGGGCCCAACTACATAAAAAGGTTGGACTTTGATTGAGTCCAAAGAAGAAGGAAAAGAAAGCAAACAAAACACAAGACCGATAATATATGTATATACAAATATATATTAATAACAAGTTACAATACATGGAAACAGTACAAAGGACGAAGTGTGTGTGAATATTCTGTATGTGCGTGCGTGCGTGCGTGTGTGAATATTCTGTATGTGCGTGTGTGTGTATTGCGCTTAGCGTGTTTCCACGCTATCCCATGTTAGCGCCTACATTTCGTGGTTGTAAGCTGAAAGCCTGATGAAAAAGAGAAATTTACCTCCAGGTGTCGACGCACAGGCCTGAGGGAAAAAGAGAGAGAGGCGAAGGGTCAGCGGCTATTTATAGCAGCGAAGAGCGACCCCTGGTGAAAGGGTTGATGTACTAAAGGAGGAGTTAATCTTGACATATATATATATATATATATATATATGTGTGTATATATATATATATATATATATGTGTATATATATATAGTATATATATATATATATATATATATATATATATATATATATATATATATATATATATATATATATATATATATGTATGTATATATATATATGCATATATATATATATATATATATATATATATATGTATATATATGTATGTATATATATATATATATATATATATATATATATATATATATATATATATATATATATATATATATATATATATATATATATATATACATATATATATATATATATATGTATATATATATATATATATGTATATATATATATATATATATATGTATATATATATATATATATATATATATATATATATATATATATATATATATATATATATATGTATGTATATATATATATATATGCGCGTACAAAATTAATGCGTCAACAATTTTGGACACTTTCTATATTCAGTTTATAACTTTTTGCATATTAAAAGTTTGCCTTCCTACAACTTTCAACCGAGGGGGGAGGTATTGTCGGAGTTAGCTCCTCCTTAATTCCCTAATTGTTCACTAGGGGTCTCTCTCCCTATACTATAAATACTGGGCGACTTCTTGCCTCGTTCTCTTCTCGCTAGAAGATGTAGTTGCCAAAGGATTCTCGTCTCGACCATTGGCGGTCAGACGTTAAAAGCACATTCACGCACGCACGCACGCACGTCCGTACGAACTTTTCCAAACTACATAAAAAACATACAGAACATTTCTAAACAAGCAACAAGAACTTTTCTCTTTGCAATACACTTCTAAAGCTGCAGGTTATTCAGCATTTCTCAGCTTTATAATTAATTCAACTTTTGTGAGTTCAGATAAAAATATTCACGGTCTAACGAACATAACTCTAACAGATCTTTAACTTCTCCGCATGTACATCAATATACACAAATAAATACAAATGTTATGTTTTTTAAAAATCATTTTTTGTTCCTTCTTGTATTTCATGCTTTGCGTTATTTTACGTCAAATATAAATTTTGTGGTCATGTTATTCACTCAGCCGTAAACAGACATCTAGAAACCACCAATCCTTATTGACATACCACCACAATAGTTTAATTGATATCGTCGCGGAAAATAAAATCGACGTTCTGAGTTCAAGTTCCAGCCTTGTCACTTGTATTCTATTTTGCATAAATACTGTCTCTTCTTTCACCAAGTTATATCTCTTTTTAAATGTTACAGATGAACACTAGCTTACAATTGGCCAAGTTCCGAAGAGAAAAAGCTGTAGAGGCCAAGCGCATGTTTAACAAAGATGAAGTAACTGACAAAACCTTAAAGAGGGCGTTAGATGTCATTGAAGACGTGGGAATAAGCATTTCATCAGACGAGAAGAAACTCCAACAGGTAAGTTTTGTTTTGAGGATTTTATTCGAGTCTTTAATTTATACATATTTTGAGTTCACTCCAAGCAAAGAAAAAAAATGGGTTACTCGATATGGAAGAATTAGGAAACATACAAATAAAGTTGGCTCTCTGCGCCGCGCCAGGAAATTTTTCTTCCCGGAATCGATACTTCAAATATAGAAATCAACCATTCGCCCTTGCATGGAGTATTGCTGCCATATATGGTCTGGGGCACCTTCTGTTTACCTCGGAGTTCTTGACAAGATCCAGAGACGGATATGTAATATAATTGGCCCTGATCTGGCGTCTCATCTACAGTCACTCTCTCACAGACGCGACGTCGTCTCTCTCCGTCTTTTCTACAAATACTTTCATGGTAATTGCTCCGATGACCTGCTTTCACTGGTTCCCAGACTCCATGAATTCAAACGCCCTACGAGGCTGTCATCCCGCTCCCACCCTTACACTGTAGAAACTTTTAAATGTAGCCGTCTCTTCTACTCCAATAGCTTCATACCTCGCACCTCACGCCTGTGGAACACCCTTCCCTATTACTGTTTCCCTGAGAGCTATAATCTCCAACTATTCAAATGTAATGTCAATCGACATCTCCAGTTACCTTGATCTATCCACTATCCCTCTCCTCATCCTTTCTTCTATCACTCCTATCTGCTCTTGCTCCAAATCTTCTGCAACCCCCTGCATCCTAGTGGCCTTGCTCGGGGCGTACAGCTGAAAAAAAAAGTACCAAGAACAAAGAGTTTGGTTTTGTTTGTATTGTTTTACGGCATATCAACACCTCAATGGGTTATTTAATGCCGACAACATTTTTATTACTGGTAATATTTTTTCAAAAAATGAATTGCTAGTTATATTTTTTTCCTCCAAAAATGTATTGCTGGTAATAAGGCAATATTTATTTTCTTCAAAAATATATTGCTGATAATAATTTATTGTTGGTAATAATCCCCCCCCCCAAATTATTGCTGATATTAAAATCTATTTATCACTTTCATGGTGTTTTGACCCCAGTTTAGGGGTTAACTATTTACCCATAACTGAGACCCTGACAGGTGCTACCACCCCGGGTCAGGGTGGACCTGGGAACAACAGCAATTAAGAGGTGGTTCCACGTTCCTCAAAAACCTCCTAATCAGTGGCCTTGCTGTTGGATGTAGTTTATCGCCTTACCCAGGACGCGGATGTAGTTTATCATCATACCCAGGACACGGATGTAGTTTATCGCCTTACACAGGACGGCAAAAGAAGAGTAATCAAGAGGAGAGTAGATAGCGATTGACATTGCATTTACATTTTCGAATATTAAAGCATGGAGTCGGAAGAGAGCCTCACAAGAGAGAAAGACAATATTGTTTCTTTCGAGTAGTTTAATAATTTAAAACATTATTATTATTATTTCATTTCCTTTGATGTCTGTCGTATACTCATTTCTTTCCGGGTCCCAACCAGAGACCTAAGTCAGTAATGTTATCATTTTCCACTAAGCATTTTTTAAAAAACGAAACAAAAAACCCCAAGATCACGAATATTTTACATAGATAAATTCCTTCGTAAAGTGTGAGATGTACTTTTGAGTACATTTTTTTAGTATTTCTTTAAGGCTTAAGCCACCAGTGATTCCTTCAATGAGAGTTTCGGAACCTTTTCCAATCAAGCCAAGAGCTCCAACTGCAGCTGGAATTATTAATGTTCTCATGTGCTACATTTTTTTTTTTACATTTCAACTTCAAGATCCTGGTGGTTTGATAATTTTTCGAAGATCTTCAAAGTGAACATTACAGTTTTCAGGGCCTACCTTGTTAATAAAAAAGCACATTCTGTATTTGTGATCTTTGACCACGATGTCTGGGCGATTAGCTTTGATTGTTCTGTCTGTGTGTATTGTAAAGTCCCATAAAATGGTTACAGGTCCGATCTCTGTAACCGGGTCTGAGTGATATTCATACCAGTTTCTTGCAGCTTCCTTTCTGTAAAAGTTGCGGATTTTCCAGCCCACTCTGTCATGCTTAGTTTTATATTAAGCAGGGGTCAAAACTGTGCAACCAAATACAAGATGGTTCATTGTTTCTGGGTATTTATTTCAGAATCTGCTTTTTGGGCTAACACAATTTTTCCCTGTGCTTGGTAATTTCTAGTTAGCAAGCATGGGTCCTGTGCAGCTAGAATAAAACATTATTATTATTATTATTTGTATATGTTTTATTTCCTGCTTTGTATCCTGTAGAGCCGGTTCCAAACTATGGTCCTTAGGCCCTATAGGAGAATTGTCATTTAATTAATAGCACTTTTCTTACTATATGGGATGTTCCTAGTAGAACGATCTTCTGGGTAACTTCTATGTTGATGTTACCTGGGACACTGTTCGTAAAATTGTCCATTCCTTTTCTCACGAGGCCCAGTGTTCCGATTACTATTGGTACAGTCTCATTCTTCATTTCTCACATCCTGTTAATGTCGATCTCCAAGCCTTTGTATTTGGAAATTTTCTTGATAATATTCATGGCGGTGTTTCTCCCAGATGGTACTGCAATATCAATAAGCATACACATTCTGAATTTGTTGTCTTTTATGATAATATCAAGTCTGTTGGCTTTTATTTCCCTGTCAGTTTGAATTGGCATGTCCCAGAGGATAGTTACATCGTTATTTTGGATAACTCTATCTGGTTGGTCGTCATACCCTCTCTCAGTGGTTTCGATTTTGTGCTCCTTGCATATCTTCCAGTGCACATATGTCGTTACCTTGTTATGTCTATGGGTATATTCATTTTTCTGCTAGTTCCGGACATCCTGAGATAATATGGTCGACAGTTTCATTATATTTTCCGCAGATCCTGCATTTCGGGTTAGTTCCATCCTTGATTATGTGACAGTGATATGATCTGGTTGCGAGGCTTTGGTCCTGACCTAAAATAATTAGGCCTTTTTTTCTCAACTTTCAGCCCGGTGCTCCTCAGCCACTGATGTGTTTTCTGTTGGTCCACATCTGCTTCTTTTTAGGTATTTGCCATGCAACGCCTTGTCCTCCCGGTTTTTGTTTTTTTGTAATTCCATTTGACAAAGTTGTTTTGCTCTCTGTTTTACTCGTTTGCCATAGATAGTATATTATTATTATTATTATTATTGTTGTTGTTGTTGTTATTATTATTATTATTTCTTTCAGATATCAATCTCACTGCATCGATGTTGAAGATTTATTCAACAGCATGCTTCCAAGTTGACAACGAATGTAAAAAACTTCAACCACATGGTAAGTTCCCTGAATTCCGATAGCTAAATGCACACCCATGTTAAGCTGGTCTCTGGAAAATCTGAATAAGAAATTTGGTCGCAATACGGTATCAAGAATTAGAACTATCACTCAAGTAACCTTCCATTTTTTGAGATAACGCTAGCATTTTGGTCAGTCCAATTCCTCAACCGGTGATACTGGAGTGACATCTCAAGGGTACGTCGATATATAGAGGGCATGCGCTGCCCAGGCACCTTTTAATATTGTGTTAATAACGCCTAATAAGAACACCAGATTAAATTATTCATACCAGGAATAATTGCTTATTAATTTCTGGATTCCGTCAGATTAACACTGGCCGAATCGAAGGTATGAGGTTTCTTTATCTTTCTTTGAACGTTCGATCTTGCTCTCGTGAAAGTGTGAATAATTTCCTTTCTTCGTCCGCTTCCCCTGGTGTGTAGTTATATCCTAAGTTTAACTGGGTTCACATCTTTGTGTATGATGGTGCTCCGACTGACATAATTTGAGGCCCGATTCTGCACTTGGTTGTTTTGCCCTCTAAGTTCTCAAGTCTTTTGACAACCCAGGTGACACTGAGCACAACCCTTACTGTGGTATCTCAGCGTTACATATTGGGGCCAGCACAGATCAATTCTTCTTAGATCAAAGGTTCCTGATGGACATTAAATTCAATTAAGCCCTCTGGTACTTCTTGGCATGAATCGTTAACAGCACAACAGCCCTTCCTACTCGGTCAAAGGAACAAGATTCGAGAGAATGCATTTGAGGCCGGATTCGCTGCATGAGTTGCCAGTATTGAGAGCCAAAAGATTCCATGTCTGGATTTATGTTTGGATTTATTTCCCTAGATTGTTTTCGGATATACCTTATGGCAGGTGAACGTTCCTGCCCCGTATAGTTCATTGCATCTTTGAATAAGCAAACATCCTTCCTTTAGAATGTGTACAGATGTTAAAGATGGTGACATCTACAAGAATTGCTGTTTCGAATCTTATGTTACATCTGCTTGACGGAGAAACTTCTTTGTTAACGGTTAGGATTGGATTGATTTGTTTTTTACGGCTTATCAACCTTTTTCAGGTTATTTAAAGCCAGAAAATGTTTTGTAATTTAGAACGATTAGAACAAACAATATCAAATTTTAGCGTCTTTTTTCTCTGGCGAAAAACACATTGTTTTGGAACTTCATGCAAAAATCAAATAATTGTTGGATTTTAATGAAATTTTCAGAATTTGTTCACAAATGAATGAAATTGTTTAATTTTTTTTAATTTTTTTTAAGAAGATCTTGGTAAAAATATTTTGTTTACTCCAAACTTATTAATTTCATGAAATTTCCAGAAATTAAAATTTCACCTCCTACATATTTATATTAGCTAAAAACAGAACTCCTGGGAGAATTTAAATTATCAATTTTTTGCAAAACAAAAAATCTGTTCTGAATCGTAAAGTAAAAATGTAATAAAATCTCATTGTTTAATTAGAAAAGCTTTTAATTGTTTTTATAAATAAAATGTATTAAGGACATTATTGTCTTTAGAAAAAATTTTTTCGATGAATAATGAATTTTTACAAGAATTGTTTTCAATTTTTAAAATTTTAATTAAAACAATTAATTAGTTTTAAATCTTAGAAGATTCTATATTAATTTCACTTTTTTCAATGATATTAAGTAAAAACTATATTTGCTAATCATAAATAGAAAAGCTTAGTACAAATCATCAAACACAAATATTTTTAAAAGATTTTTTTTGTATGTGTATAAATGTTATAGTGGAACACACCTATTCTATTGTTAATAGACTCTCCCACCTATAATAAGTAGGAGTAGTAAGAGTAATAAGTCAGTCGGCAAGAGAGTTGGTCAGTCAATCGATGTCGGACGACCGTTAGTCGGATATTAAAGTATCAGCCACCACAACTAGATTACTGCGTCATTACCTATTATATGAAGTTCCTAACGTTTTGTACGTCGAACCTATTTTAGGACCGACTTAGTACAAATACAAGCCTCCACTGTGAAACCACTACATAACAATAAACGTGCTGATTATTTTTACGGTCTTCCATACACAACATTATCAGAAAATAAGAGCCATAACTATATAATATCTTAAATTCAATAAAACATTATGTTAAGGAGAATATTTTCCTAAATTTTTAAAACTACAGAGTAATTAAAAATTATGTACAAAAGGCGCTCACGTTATATTCGATTATTTCTTTACTAAAATAGAACAACTTTAGATAAATATCAATCTATCATCAAACTGTTAAAACACATCAACAGATTAAATAAATAGCTACCGATGTGTTAAAAATGCATGTCTGCGATATTTAAACTTAAAGTAAGTAATATTTATTTCAAATCAGATTAATTATAATTTAAATCAATTAATATTCCTCAAATAAACTTTCAGAAATGCATAGTTCATTTTTGTAGGATTTTTTAAATAAAGAGCATTACAATACAATGAAAGATGACAAAAAAAACAAAAAAAAAAAACGCAAAATCAGATATTTTAGAAAAAAAAAGAAAAGAAAAGTAATACATTCAGGTTAATTTAAATTAATTTTTGAAATACAGCAAAGTATTTTGCTTATTGGAAATATTAAGTTTAATCTATTATTTTGAAATTAAAACTAAAATAAAAGCTTCAAGAAAGATTTTTCATTTAAAAAATTAATTTTAAATCTTAGGTATAGCGAATGTGTGGAGGTAACTAAATAATAGTAGTAGTAATAGTAATAAAAGTAGTAGTAGTAGTAATAATAATAATAATAATAATTGGAGCCCTAGGACTGGTTGGAAAAGATTGCAGTAGACTAATTGAAGGGATTCGTAGAAGTCCATGCCTCAAAGAGATACAAAAAATTGTTCTGACAAGTACAGCCCACACTTTACGAAGGGCTTTATCTATGTAATATTTTTTTTTGTCAGTGGAAAGTGTCATGATGCCATTTTTAACCTTAGGTCCCTGGGTGGGACCCGGAAAGAAATGTGTAAACGCCAGAAATCAAAGAAAATAATAATAATAATATTATTATAAAATTATATTATAAAATAATAATAAGTGAATGGTTAAGCAAAAAGATAATGGCCCAGTTTAGCTGTTTTGATGGACACAAAGTAAAGGCACACGTTTAAAATAGTATTTTCATTGTAAACCGAGCCCATCGCTAAAAGTTAAGTCTTGTAAATTTTCAAAAGTTAACTAACATAACATGATCCGGAGTTTGAATAACCACAAAAAAATTTGGTAGCCATAACTGTAATCTTTCCTTGAGTTATATAATGACAGACAGATAGAAAAAAACATATGAATCATAGTAAGATGCTGTCTAGAAACATTTTGTTTTGTGTCTGGGGAATTGATGTAGTTGTTTGCACTTATTTGGAAGACGCAACATAAAAAAAAGACTGTGTTGTATCTTGCCTTAGAGGTCATACAAATATAATTTGGAAGCCTCTAGCTATTCAACTGTCAAAACGTTGCCTGCTTGTTTGAGTTCGTCAATAGAAAGAGAAAAATATCCTATTTTTTTTTTTTCACGTCATTAATCTTTCTTTTTTCCCGTGGCATCTTAATAATAATAATAATAACAACAACAGCAACAACAACAATAATAATAATAATAAGAATAATAATAAGTAGTAGTAGTAGTTGTAAACAAGAAACTAAATACTGAGTTTTTAGTGTACTCATTTCTTTCCGGTTCTAGCCCTAAGACCTAAGGTCAGAAATGGCATCATGACATTTTCCATTGAGCTATTAAAAAAACAAGCACATATTTTATATAGATAAAGTCCTTCGTAAGGTGTCGGCTGTACTCGTGAGAACAATTTTTTTTTGTATTTCTTTAAGGAATGGTCCACCAGGGATCGCTTCAATGTGTCTATTGGAATCTTTTCCAATCAATCCAACGACTCCATCTACAACAGGGATTGTTGATGTTCTCATATGCCACATCTTTGAGATTTCGATTTCATCATTATTATTATTATTATTATTTTTATTTTCTTTGATTTCTGGCGTTTACACATTTCTTTCCGGGTCCCGCCCAGGGACCTAAGGTTAGAAATGGCATCACGACACTTTCCTTTGACAAAAAAAAAATTACATAGATAAAGCCCGTCATAAAGTGTGGGCTGTATTTGTCAGAACAATTTTTTGTCTATCTTTGAGGCATGGACTTCCAGGAATCCCTTCAATTAGTCTACTGGAATCTTTTCCAACCAGTCCTAGGGCTCCAACTACAACAGGGATTGTTGATGTTCCCATATGCCACAATTTTGAGATTTCTATTTCAAGGTCTTTGTATTTTGACAGCTTTTTGAATATCTTCAAAGATACTTTGCAGTCAGCAGGGACTGCCATATCAATAAGGAGGCACTTTTTTTGTTTGTGGTCATTAATAACAATATCTGGGTATTATTATTATTATTATTATTATTATTATTATTATCAATAATTTACAATGTTTTTGTTTGAGTTTGGGTTTGACCAATTCGTAAAAAAAACCCAAAACAAAACAAAAATTAATTAAGACATGCGTCAACCTTAAACAATAATTGTAATAATTTTAAAATTGTAATTAAAATTGTAGTTAAATAAAATGAATTCTAACCTAAACTTCTTTTAATTAGTACTACACGCACTTAAAAGAATCCAATAAAAACACCTATAGTAAAATAAAATTAATATGAAATGCCATAAGATGTAAGCTTTTGAATGACCCATGTCCTTTGTACTTACATGAGAAACAATATATTGCTAGGTTTATATATAAAATAAAAGTTTACTAAATCAGTGAAATTAAGTAACCATTTTTACCGTCGTAGTCATAAATTTTTCATAAAAAAAAAAAAGATGTAACCTCATATACATACTTAAACTTGATGTTAAAATAATCCTACATAATATAATGGATTCTAATACATTTAACTGTTCTTAAAAAGAATATAGTATAATAAAAATTAAAAATGAGAATATTTCAAATCGTAGTTAAATAAAAAGTATTATGATCTGAACACCCCCGAAAATATTTAAATTTATAAATGGAAAAAAAATGCCGGAAGAATTTTTTTTACCGTTAACAATAATTAAAAAAAAAAAAAATCCAGACGACATGCATTGAACGGATGTCAGTTTTCATTGAAAAATACATCCCTACCCCTTACCAAATTGTAGCTAATAAATGATACAATGATACTGTCATAAGGAAAACCTAGACATTCCTTGTCCAATTCAAGTAGAATATTCTGTAACCATGGAAACGTGATTTTAGCTGTGTCTTTAAAACCCAGTAATTTTAAAAAAAGTTACGCCAAAATTCGTTTTTTTGTTTGTGGTCTTTAATAACAATATCTGGGTATTATTATTATTATTATTATTATTATTATTATTATTATTATTATTATTAAACATCTTTGATTTCTGGCGTTTACACATTTCTTTCCGGGTCCCGCCCAGGGACCTAAGGTTAGAAATGGCGTCATGACACTTTTTCCACTGACAAAAAAAAAAAAAAAAAAAAAGATTACATAGATAAAGCCCTTCGTAAGGTGTGGGCTGTACTTGTCAGAACAATTTTCTGTATCTCCTTGAGGCATGGACTTCAGGAATCCCTTCAATTAGTCTACTGCAATCTTTTTACGAACCAGTCCTAGGGCTCCAACTACAACAGGGATTATTAATGTTCCCATATGCCACATTTTCGAGATTTCTATTTCAAGGTCCTTGTACTTTTGACAACTTTTGAATATCTTCAAAAGATACATTGCAGTCAGCAGGGACTGCCATATCAATAAGGAGGCACCATTTTTGTTTGTGGTCTTTAATAACAATATCTGGCCGGTTGGCCTTGATTGTTCTGTCAGTGTGTATTGTGTAATCCCATAGAATTGTAACAGGTCCTATCTCCCGTAACCGGGTCTGGGTGGTGTTCATACCAGTTTCTTTCTGTTTTCTTCCCGTAGAAGTTGCAGATTTTCCAGTGCAGATATTGGCCCACTCTGTCATGTCGGGTTTTATATTCAGTGGGTGCCAACACCGTACAACCTGATACAAGATGATCAATCGTTTCTGGATATTTATCACAGAATCTGCATTTTGGGCTGACACAATATTTTAGTATATGTGCTTGATAATTCCCAGTTAGCAAGCATTGGTCCTATTATTATTATTATTATTATTATTATTATTATTATCAATAATTTACTACATCTGTAGTTTAGTATAACCCCCTCTTTGACGCTTCCCCCAATCGCTTCAGTTAAATCGAAAAAACAAACAAAAAAAACAAAAAAACAAAAAAACAAAAAAAACAAAAACAAACAAACAAACAAACAAAAAACAAACAAACAAAAAACAAACAAAGAAACCAATACTTTTATGCTTTCGGAAAATAAAATGAATGCTGATAAAAGTGTAGTGTGTGTCTTATAGAAGAGTTTTCTTTGAAAAAAAATTTCTAACGAATGTTTTATTTTTGACAGGTCTTCAAAGTATCATTGCTCAGAGCCGAGACTATGAGAAACTTAAAACTGTTTGGGAAGGATGGAGAAATGTTTCTGGTAAAAGGATGAGACAGGATTTTGCCAAATGGGTGAAATTATCCAACGAAGCCATAAAAGATGGGAAACGTAAGAGCCTTCATTTATCTTCATCTTGAAAATAGACTTTCCGAATCACATGGTTATCATTCGTTATGATGCTTCGCCCGATACATTCTGCAGTCTTCTTCATCTGTACAATCTAGCTATTAACCTTAAGAAAGTAAAAATGGGGTTCTTTGAAAAGCATTTTTCGGTCCCAGAATTACATTTAATGCTATTTTGGTCGCTGAATTTCATGATTTTTAAGTTTTGTTTTTTGAAAACATTTTCCGCATTTAAAATAATTACATTTATATTTAAACTCATTTTGGCAACAGAATTTCATGCTTTTTGAAACACCTGCATTTCTAAGCTTACAGCATCTAATATTCACAAGCAGTCACCCGTCTGGGTACTGATCAGGTACCGCGTTGCTTAACTTCGGTGATCATATGGAAACCGGTATTTCAACGTGATGCGGTCGTAAGCCGACACAGAATTTTATTTGGTATTTTTGTTTTCCTTTTTTATTTTATCTATTTTTATTTTCATTTTATTTTTATTTTATTTATTTTTATTTTTAATTTATTTATTTTATATTTTTTGTTATTTTTATTTTATTCTATTCATTTTATTTTTATTTTATTTTATTTATTTTATATTTTTATTTTATTTTTGTTTTTATTTTTATTTATTTTATATTTATTTTTATTTTATTTTATTTTTTATTTTATTTTATTTTATATTTATTTATTTATTTATTTTATTTTTATTTTTTTTTTTTTTTTTATTTTATTTTATATTTATTTTTTTATTTATTTTATTTTTATTTTATTTATTATTTTTATTTTATTTTTATTTTTATTCTTTTGAAACAGTTAAATCATTATTTACACTATTTACATTGTTGGGACTGTTGTCCTCATCTTTTTTGTCATATTCCCGACGTTACGGCCGTTGTATGCTCTGGCCTTCTCCAGTTGATATACAATGGAATTTCGAACCGAACACTTTATTTTGTTCACCGGGAGTAGATTGGCTATTTCCCTTGAGTAAATCAACTCTCCAAATTTTGTTCAGGTATTGAACTCACAACCCTTTGGGTCAGGCCAATCTATTACTTCAACCAACACTTTTACCCACTGGGCCTTGTGTCCGAAACATCATGAATATGAAAGATGAGGACAACATTCCATAGAATGTAAATAGTGTAAACAGTTACAATATCTCATCTCAGAAATACAAACAGATCCTGAAGAAGACCGGAGCGTACAACGGTTGAAACGTCGTTAATATGACAATAAACATGAGGACAACAGTCCGAACGACGTAAATCGTGTAAATAGTTACAATACCTCACCTCAGAAATATAGACAGATCCTGAAGTAGGTCGGAGCGTACCACGGTCGAAACATCGTGAATATGGCAATGACGATGAGGGCAAAGGTTAATTACACAATGTAATTCGTGTAATTAGTTACAATACCTCATCTCAGAAATATAGACAGATTCTAAAGAAGTCCCTATCGTACAACGGCCAAAACGTCTTGAATATGTCAATAAAGATGAGGAAAACAGTTCAAATGATGTAAATAGTGTAAATAGTTACAATACCTCATTTCAGAAATATAGACAGATGAAGACCACATTCGTCTTTTTTTGTGCAAAATATAAAAACTTTAACACCCCATTAAAATTCAATTCTTGTGCCAAATAAAATAGTCTAATTAGTAGGAATGCTTCTCTTCCTCTTGAGCTCAAAATAGGCGCAAATAATAAAATACAACTCAAGCACTGCGTGAAATTTTAATGGAAAATCATTTATGGCACACATAAAGACAAAAAAAGGGTACAATACAAAAATTTGTGCAAAAATTTCCTTTTGTGCGTCTATTACGGAAGTATAACAAATTTCTGACGTTACAAAAACGGAATTACCATCGAAAAGGATAAAAGTTTACTTTGGGAAAAGACAAAAAAACCTTACACAAAAGACTAAAACGTATATTTATTTATTTCTATCTACTGGCCAGAATTTTCGAGAAATCTGGTTAGAAAAATATCCTGCCAGAGGGCGCATGTTTTTCTAAAAAGATTTCTCGAATATTCAAGCCGGTAGATGGAAATAAATAAATATACGTTTTAATAAATAAATAAAAACAGAGCATCTCAAATACGAGAAACCATTTAAACTAAAGACGAGGTAACAAAAATTGAAATTCTTTAGTACTGCTCATAAAAGAAAAATATGGAGATGTTACAATTATTGACGGCCTGAGATAATAATATGTTTTTTTTTTCGTTTCTTTTATTGACAGAATACAAAAATCTTGGTGAATCCTGGAGATCTGCCTATGGTCCTGGATTTGTTAAGAAAATTGAAAAGCTATTCCATAAAATCGAAGAGCTGTATCGTTTATTCCACGCTTATGTTCGAAATACATTAATTAAGAAATATGGTGCCAAATATTTCAAAGATAATTTGATTCCAGCGCATATTTTAGGTAAGTAATACACCCTCACCCTTACGCAGGCAGATATAGTGCCACCTTTTATTGTATTTTCGGAATACAATATAGATATTACTAGCAGCATGGCCCAGCGTTGCCCGTGCTTGATTCAAAAATCGTACGACATACAGCAATCGCTATCACTTGACTTAAAATATTTTGCCTTTCCTTGCCTTTAAAGGAGTGCCCTTTGCCATGTTGATGTTGCTACATGCCTTACTTCTTGCCTATCTCACACTGCGAATTTTTTCTAAGCTTTACGCTAAACATTAAATCTGTTACGAAAAAAAACAAAACAAAATGAACACAAAACGATCAGCTTTAAAAAAAAGGACTCGTAACTGGAAAACCGAATGAAAAAAGAATGTTAACAACAAATACTTTTTTCACAACTACCCAGTTCTGCGGAATCAGAATCAACGCTGAGTTTAAGCAAGCGAATGACCCAATTGGAGTAAAGTGCCATGCAGATTTAAATTTTTCCCACTTGTGACGAATGCAGCTATTGATTTTTTTTTGCATGCTAGCATGCTAGTTAACATTCGTGTCAGTCAGCTGTTGGCTCTCACGCTGGCCAATAGAATCTTCCTGCCTATTTGTGGCAGCCAGCTATTGGCTCTCACTCTAGCCAGTACAAAATGGCCGCAAGCTACATGAAAACTGCCGTAGAAGCAAGAAAAAATCGATTATTTCCACTATCGGTGGGAGTTGGGAAATGCAAAGTTGGTCTTAGCATTCCCGCTAACTTGGAGCATGTGCATATAAGTTTTGGTGCAAATCCGTCGAAAATTGCGGCCGCGCATTCGTTACACACACAAACACGCACACACACGCACACACACACATCCTGCCTTTTATAGATAGAGATTGGTCCTGACCTGTGGTCTCTGGCTTCAGTTACTTCCACGCTGCAGTAATATAGATTCCCTGTGATTTAATATAAACTTAAAATCTTAATATCAACTAAAATCTTTTTTGCAAAATGCTGATGCGTGTTGAAATCTTTACATTATTTTGTATTGTAAAAGTTACCGCTAACATTTTTTGTCAAGATTTACAATAAAAGATTTCGTTCAATTTCATAAACCAATCGATGAAATTTGGATAACCTGATTTGTTTGGAAAAATACTTTGACAAAAGACCATTCTTTGCAGTTTAATAATTTTTTAATTTAATTTAATAATATAGAACTTCATGGTAAACAATATTTTTTAAGAAAATTTCTTTTTTTTTCTTTTTAAAAGAATAAATGTTTAGGATTTCATTCTCTTGAACATGTAACATAAAACGGTTCATGCGTAAAAAATATTTCTTTCTGGATCCAAATTCCAACATTTAGAAGCGTTTGACCTTATGATTTGTTTATAGCTCTTGCACGCAGGGTGAACTCGAAACTGGATTCTTGTATATATAAAAACTTATAAAAAAGATATGAAAAAAACATATTGCATTTTTATTAAATAAGTATTTGTTATTTTAATCATTAAATTGTTTTTAAAATAGTGGGAATATTTTGTATAAATATTAAAACTTTTAATTTTTCCAAAAACACTAATGAAAATTTATTGTACTGACCTATGCACCTTACTAAAACCAATTTTACTTTGTACTCTTTTATCTGTTTGCACTTCTCAAAATTTGTTTTCAATTGGTCAATGTATGGCTTTTTATATATATACACCCTTGTGCAAAAATTAATTGAAATAACCGCTTTAGTTTCCTTTCTTTCACCATACGGCCAGTTTTAAACCGACTGGGGTGACAGGGTGTAATCGATTTCTATTTTTTCCTCAAATGAGGTCATTTGCAGGGGTGTGCAGTAATAGGAATCTATTTTCGGGGTTTTATGAGGAATTTTGTTTGGCCTTGAAAAATATTGTGTCATCCGTGATTGCATCAGATTTTCCTCACACACAGACACTATTGTCTCGACTGTCAATTAGTTGTCCATTAATTGTCTGCGATGGACTTTACTCCAAGGAAGCGTACGAAAATTCTAACGATGCGCAAACACAATGGCAAGCTTTAACAATGAACAAATCAAAGTACTATCGGCTGCCTCGGGAACTGTCCTGATTTAAATCCAATCGAGAATCTGTAGTCAATCTGCAAGGAACGACTTCGTGGAATGGACATACTAAGTATCGATATGTGTATTGGGTCAGGTTTCATTGGAAAAATACGAAAAAAAGGAAATAATAACGGAATTATTCGTTTTGTTTCAATTAATTTGTACAAGGGTGTAGATGATCATGGCCCTCCACGCCTTCCTTTATAATTAATTTGTACAAGAATCTAGATTGGTTGGTTGTTTTATTTTATGGCATATCAAAACCTCAGTGGGTCATTTTATGCTAAAACATTTTTTGAAATATATTCATAGCCATAGTTTGGTAAAAAAAATGGTGTGTATGTATACATATATATTTGAACCATTTTCAATTACTCCTATTTTTGAGTACAATCAGACTTCTTTTAGGAAATTTACAATATTGAATATTTTTATTTTCGTAAAAACTTTTTTTTTTAAATTACTCACTTGGTAATATTTTGTTCGCACTAGTTCAAAATCTACAAACTCTAACAGTATGTTTCACTGTAAATTATAATTATTGCTGATAATAATTTTTCCTTCAAAAATTATTGCTGGTAATAATTTTTTACACAAGTTTTGGTGTTAACTATTTGCCATTAGCTGGGACCCTAACAGGTGCTAGCACCCCGGGTCAGGGTGGACCTGGGAACACCAGCAATTAAGTGGTCGTTCCACGCTCCTCAAAAACCTCCTGATCAGAGGCACAAGGGTGTAGATACTTTTACATCTTCGCTATTGTACCTCTGCTTTATGAATACTAGATTGGCAGCAGACCTAGCAATTAATTCAATATAATCACTACATATGATGTCAGTAGAAAACGAGACAGCAAGAAGATGCAATGAGTTGATCGTCAGGAGGTTAGCATCAGCCATACTGATTGGGGATAAAAATGGTTCTCTATGAAGATTAAAAGATATCAGTTTTATTTTAGGGGCGTTAAACTTTAAAGTCATTTCTTGCCCCAGCTAACAACTGATTACAGCTCATTTACAAGAGATATATATATATATATATATATATATATATATATATATATATATATATATATATAACCTTTATTTTTTGAGCTTTTAACAAATATATATTCCGATGGTTATCATATCGGGGGTGGCGCAGTGTGGACAAGCTCCCACTCTCTATAAAATGTTTCCTTGACATACGTCTTAAGTAGCCTCTGGCAACTAAGTCCAGCTCCAAGCCGGAAAAAGGGCGAAAGCGGAAAACTGGCGCCTCGTAACTAGCTGATTCGGGTTGATGGAGCTCGATAGCCCAGGAAGGAAGTTCATCTAAGGGGAAGGAAAACCCTGATTTTAAAACCTCCGCTGCTTTGCGGTCATATTCAATCCCGGAAAAGGCAATGAAAGGCGTAAATCCAGACAGAAAACCTGGACTGGAGCCCCGAAGACGGTTGGCCGTCAACATTGATAACTTTCCGGCAGCTCCTGCAGCCAATCCGTCCCCAAATGGAATGCCCTGTAGTCCTTTAGATTTTATCGGTACGGCCGAAAGTGGAGGGCATGTCGTCAGAGCAGCGTATATATCACCATCCAGGCCTGTATCCTGGAGAGGCCACTTCAGTTCCACAACCAAAGAACTGGCTTTTGACTAAACAATGATATCTTCCTCTCGTAAGATAAACGGATGCTAACGAAAGCAGATGCCAGATTTACTTTCTCGGATCTGTTGGACTTACTCTTTAAACAAGAGTAAATATTTGTGTCGTCAGCATAAATACTGATGACATCGAAAATTTCGTTAATGAAAATAAGAAACAATTTTAAAAATTAGTAATTATTTGTACTGAAACAGAGATGCAGACCCCAATGATAGCACGTGGCTTGAATATCATATTTAACATTACATTTTATTCAATGTCAGTTATTCTTGGCCAGTGTGTATATGTAGTTTTTGCGAATCCGGAGCCTTTCGTTCAAAATTTGGGCCTTACATTCTTGTCTGATACTCTCTACTCTCCGCTGGGGTGGGTGTTTATATATCTACCTCTGTCATTCAGTTCAAAAGTTCTTACCCAAAACGATTTGGAGAAATAAAACAGTTTTTTTAAAAATTATTTTTCAATATAGTTCCCCTTGACATCAATGCACTTAGTCGAACAATACTTGCATTGCAATCCTATGACGGAAGAAGATGACGTTCTGGTTCTCCAAAAATCCCTCCATTTTTTTCTAAAATGGCGACTCCGGAGGTGGGATTTGTGTTTAGGAAACAGGAAGAAGTCAGATGGAGCTAGGTCTGGTGAGAAAGGAGGATACGGTAGCCACAATTCAAAGCCACATTTGGCCACTTCAGCTACTGCATCCTAAACAGTGTGAATGGGCGAGTTATCCTGAAGCAAGATCCCACCTTCTCTCAGCTTCCCTCTACGTTTCGACTTGATTGCTTCCTTCTGTTGTCTTAATTCTGATGCAAACTACTGTACATTAATAGTTTTTCTCTTTTCCAGGTAGTCGTTCATGATTATGTCTTCAGAATCCTTCAAAACAGAAGCCCTCATTTTGCGAACAGACGCTTTCTGCTTGACCATCTTCTGGTGGAGAACCAGAGTGTCTCTACTATTTGCTTTGAATCTTTGATTCAGGTTCGAAGTGGTGAACTCAGGTTTAATCTTGAGTTATTAATCAGCAGTGGAAATTCTCAGGGTCAGCCTGGAAGCGAGTCAGAAGTGCCCTGGAAATATCAACCATTTTCAGCTTCTGTTCTGGGGTCAACATTCTTGGGAATCCATCTCGTAGACAGCTTGTTCATCCCCAAGATCTCAGTTAAAACAATATGGATAGAACCAGAACTTATGCTTATGGACTTAGCTATGTTCTGGATAGTAAGATGTCTGTCATCCAAAATCATACAGTGAAAGGCATCAACTTGTCCATCAGTGTTTGAGGTTTTTAGACGACCTGACCGAGGAACGTCTGTGTTGTCCCTGTCCAGTTTGAATTCTTCACAGTTGTATAGGAAGAGGATTTCTCAGCAAGTGTCTGTACCGTGTCCTCATGGGTTTTCTTTTGCAGATACTTTATGACTGCTAGAACCTTGGTTTTGTTCATTTTTATATTTCTTATACACCTCTCATGCTATTATCTAAGTTTACAAGAATCAGATCCGGCCGAATATGGGGTACTGTTACCATATTTCGGCGGGAGTTGCCCAGTCTTCACTTTCCAGTCTTGATAGAGTTTAGAAGTCTTGTGGGTGATGAATTATTTTACACTCTCCAACTTCTCTCACACTTGCGGGATGTGTCGAGCCTTTCACCACTTTATTGCTACTTCCATAGAAAATTAACTACATTTCCCGTTTCTGCCATGTCTAACCTTAAGGGTTAGGACCCGCCATGCCACTTACATATTATCAAACCACCCACATTTCCTCCGTATTCCATTAGTGAGAAATAAGTACCACTTGAACAGCTTCTTCCCACAAACGGCAACCGCGTGGAACCGATTCCCAACAGCATGTTTACCCGATCACTAAAATCTGCTCAAAAGCTGGGGTTAACCGTTATTTTCTTCTATCCATATAAAGTGCCCCTTAACGTGACCCTCTACCTCGAGTGGCCCCCGGGCATTGTACAGATTGAAAATTACTGCAAAAAATGTCTCACGTTTGTATGGACCTCACCTGCACAAAGATTGAAGCAGGAATCTGAATTAGTGTTAATGCGTTGCCACAGATAAATATTCAGCTGTAACTCTTCTTTCTTGGCGAGGCTTAGAACTTTTTGAAAGAGCCTCGTATTTAAGATGAAGAATTATAGAGGTGAATATAACAAGATGGTTATTTGACCCTGAGGAGTGCTCACATCGCGAAATCTTTGGTCGGTCATAGATACGTAATGCGGATGTCTTATTAATTAATAATAATAATTATTGCTCTAGATAACTTCTTTTTTTTGTAGTAATGTCGTGTCTCATTTTGTAAATCTATTTTGCAGAACCGACTTCCAAGAGACAGAAATCTGAATTAGTTATTCTAGTTTTATAAGAAGTGGTAATTTGTTGCCACGCAATACACAGCCATGTATCTTGTTTCTGGGTTAGGCTTAGAACTTTTAGAACGACCCTCGTAAATGTCTAAAGATAATGAAAGCCCTTGTCATAAAAAAACAAAAACAAAACAAAAAAAAATCCTTAAAAAAAGCAACTATGAACTTAACCACAATACGATATTTTCTGGGAGTGTTGAGCAATGAATCATTTAAGATGCCATAAAATCTTTATTTCTCATTACAGAATAAAAGACATAAGACACCCACATACATAATTAAAACCCGTTCAAAATGACTAAGATCATCATCATCTGATACAAAGAGATCATCATAGTCATTATCATTTACAGTTTCGTCATGTAGGTTCCAGTCTGTGTAGGAATTTTCCCCGGTTACGTGTATGTTTGTGATCGACAGTGAGATTAAAATGAACAAAGCCCAAGGCACAAAACAACTGTTCAACAGTTTTTATTTCTGGTTAAAAAGAGTGCGAAATAGTAGTATTTTGCGGGAATGGGGTTTCACAGTTAACAAAGTTCTGAAATACATGTTTTGTAGCGAGAGATTTCACTGGAGGAACGAGAAATCTGAGTGTGAAACTGTTAGGACAGGTACGAGACTTCTGCGGCAAGGATAGTGTGTCGTTTTTCCTTTGGGCGGGTGTCTCGAAGGTAGATTTCTTCCCTGTTTCCACGGGAGGAACGAGAAATCTGAAGTCAAGCTACCAGCACAGGCCCCGTCTGCTGCAGCAAGGGTTGAGTTGCTTCTGGTTAAAAAGAGTGCAAAATAGTAGTATTTTTTTTCGGGGGGGGCAGTTAACAAAGTTCTGAAATACATGTTTTGTAGAGAGAGATTTCACTGGATGAACGAGAAATCTGAGTGTGAAACTGTTAGGACAGGTGTGTAGTTGTTCCTTTGGGCAGGTGTCTCGAAGGGAGAACAAGAAATCTGAAGTCAAGCTGCCGGGACAGGCCTTGTCTTCTGCAGCAAGGGTTGAGTTGCTTCTGGTTAAAAAAGAATGCAAAATAGTAGGATTTTTCGGAGAAAATATATATATATTATAAAATGCCCTTGTTACAATGTATCTAGTTTGTCTTTTCCTTCATTCAAATCAAGCTTTTTGTTGAGTGTGTAAATACACAAACAAAGGAACAATATAACATACAATCTATATTTCACATTAAAATTCATTATCATTGCAGTGGTAAATAACAACAATATAACTTGCAAACTTTATTTTTCAATAACGTACATTATACGCCATACGGTATTTTTTGCAGTGTTAAGCAACAAAACATTTAAAATGCCATAAAATCTTTATTTATCATTACAGAATAAAAGACATAAGACATCCACACACATAATTAAAACCATTCAAAATGACTAAGAACATCACTATCTGATGCAAAGAGATCATAATCATTATCATTTATCGTTTCGTCATATGTGTCCCAGTCGGTCGTCTTATACGACGGATATCAGATAAAATCACAAAGATTTTAGGTCTCGTCTTATCCATAGGTGCACCTTATACGTGCGAATATACGTTAGCCCTGTGTTCATCACAGTTTGTCTAACGATAAAATGGCACCTGACATTTTTTTATTTTTTTTATTTCTTATCCTTGGTTTCTTTAAGAGATGATGTCTTTTAACAGGTAATATGTGGGCTCAAGATTGGGCAAACATAAATGAGCTACTCTTGCCGTATAAAGAACGACTGGATGTGACCGGCGAAATGGTTAAACAGGTAAGTAACAGTATCTGACCGATTCAACTGTCTTGTACCCATCTTAATTTTTTATAATACTAAAGTTTATTCAATACTAGGCTTAAGAGGCACTCAGGGCAGAGGGTTACTGTTAAAATGATTATGATGTTAACGTGTTATATGAGCGAAAAACGGTGTGAGGATTATTAGGATAAGCGGGGGTAGATAATGATTGACTCTTGACTTGAAGTGTTCAGGAAAATATTCATGTGGCAATCTGTTACACAAAGTAACTGTTCTTGGTAAAAGGTAAGTGGAACTTTCTACCTGAATTTAAAATACAGAGGAAATTAGGCTGATTCGAGTTTTGAGAAGTAACATAGCGTTTCCTAGAAGTAAAGGCCTGAACTATTAGAACTACACAAAGTAGTTCATATGAACATCTGCCATTGAAATAACGATAGAGTATAGATGGGTTTGCGATGGTACGTTTTTTAATAATTCAACCCCAAGCAAGGCAATAAAGCCACTAAGATGCAAGGAATTAATGAGTGTAAGAGAAAAAACATTATTAAGGAGAAAGAGCAATAAAAGTAAGGGAATTAAGAAGACAGATAGTGGTAATGATTGGTTTTGCATTTAAATCTTTGAAAATCAAAGTTGACTGGAAAATAAGAAGTTGGAAGGGAGTTCCACAAGCGAAAAGTGCAAGAGAAGAAACTGTTAGAATAGAACTTACGGTTACGGTTACGCGTATTTGAGAAAGAGGATCCTGAATGGGGAATATGTCTCCCCCACCCTCACCAAAAAGACAAAAAAAAACAAAAAAACAAAAAAAACCCCAAAAAACGATCGCTTAAAACGATTTTGAACTCTATCAAGGCTAGAAAGTACGGATTAAACAGCTCCAGTCCTGATGTTATTATTATTATTATTATTATTATTATTCCCTTTATATTTTGATCTAATTCAAGGCTGGAAAGTGAGCACTTTCAGCACAGATGTTATTATTATTATTATTATTATTTTCTTTGATTTCTAGCGTTTACACATTTCTTTCCGGGTCCTGCCTAGGGACCTAAGGTTAGAAATGGCATCATGACACTTTCCACTGACAAAAAAAAAAAAAAAAAAAATTACATAGATAAAGCCCTTCGTAAAGTGTGGGCTGTACTTGTCAGAACAATTTTTTGTATCTCCTTGAGGCATGGACTTCCAGGAATCCCTTCAATTAGTCTACTGCAATCTTTTCCAACCAGTCCTAGGGCTCCAACTACAACAGGGATTGTTAATGTTCCCATATGCCACATTTTCGAGATTTCTATTTCAAAGTATTATTATTATTATTATTATTATTATTATTATTATTATTATTATTATTATTATTATTCCCTTTATATTTTTTATCTAATTCAAGGCTGGAAAGTGAGCACAGATGTTATTATTATTATTATTGCTATTGTTCCTGTGCCGTAAAAAATGATGGTAATTGTTAGAAAGGTTTAATAGTGAGATGCAAGTAAATAAAAGTCTTGAAACAATGTATCGAATTTCAATAAAACGGAAATAAAGAATTCAGAACTAAAAAGCCAATGAACGGTTTAATTAATTCGTTCTTTTTATAAGTTTTAGACGATCAATGGTATCGATCATTCATTGATTACACCTGGTATTGTATAAATCATTTTTTCGTGTTAAAAATTTTATGCGTTTAATATGCTTTTAGATGAAAATATCTCTTGGGTGAAAAAGCTTAGCAATATGACGGCGAAGACGACAAACCCAATTTCAAGAGCAAGTTAATCATATGAAAATCATAATTGACAGGAACACAAGAAGTCGGAAGAGAGTTCCACAAGCGAGAAGTACGAGAGAAGAAACTGTTAGCATAGAACTTACGGTTACAGTTATGGGTAATTCAAAAAGTGAGTTCTGATTGGGTAATATGTCTCCCCCCCACACCCCAAGAACGTATAAAACAGTTTTGAAGCCAATCCATGCTGGAAAGTGAGGATTGAACAGCTCCAGCCCTGATGTTATTATTATTATTATTATACTTGAATGTTATTATTATTATTATTATTGTTGTATTTAAATTTCAATAAAGTGGAGACAAAGAATTCACAACTAAAACAAAAGCTAATGAACCGTTTAATTAATCTGTTCCCTTCATAATTTTTAGACGTTCAATGGCTTCTTTGATTCATTGATTACGCCTGGTATTGTATAAATTGTTTATTTGCTCAAGATCTTTTCATGTTAAAAATGTGATGTGTTTAATAAGACAGTAAAATGAAAATATCTCTCGGATGAGAAAGTTTAGCAACAGAACGACAAAGACAGCGAAGACAACGACAAAGCCTATTTCGAGACCAAGTTGAAGCAAGACGATCACTTCATAGACAAAAATATCGGAGTGCATCACATGAAAGGCTTGAACAAATAAGACTGCAATCTAATAAACGTAGGAGTTAAGGAACCGATTAATCAAACGGGTAATTTTGCTCGGGAAGTAATGTTGTCCGAATGCAGATAGTTTATTTGTGTGGATTATTAAAACGACAAAGGGAAGTAATCATTCATAAATGTACTTATTTAAGTCGAATTATTCCTTTTGTACTGTAGATGGGACAGAAAATATATAAATAAATACACATTGATACTTATCAAAAGGTATGATTACTATTATTATTATTATTATTTCATAGCAATTAATACTTAACGTTCTATTTGTGCCATTTGTTTGTTTATTACTTCGAACCAGAATATACATGATGTCCCTAAATTCTCGACACAGGTAAAAATCAGGAAATTAAATTTTCAATAACATTTTATTGAATTGGAATATTAACAAATAACATCTTCAATATGATTACCATCATTGCAAGATTCACGTGACTCGATGCAATAACTCCACATTGCCGTCAATTTTAGCACGTTGCATCTATTCTCTATCTAGCTTTTGGTAGATGGCAGGGCAGACTGGGTTCTATAGCCTTGTTTGGCAACTAGTTTGCAAGAGAAATCATAGCAGTAGGTCTTCTATGTGTCCAAACTTTAGGGATACCCTGCATAACTTTTCTGCGCAACATTGCCTGGTGGTGCCGAAAAGTTATGCACTCTGGTAGAAAAGTTATGCACTCTGGTAGACTATTAGGTTGTCCCAAAAGTTCGTAAACACTTGCGAAAAATTGAATTTTTATGCAACACAATCCAGCACAATCGAGAGAAGCAATGGGTTCAGAAAGGGCAAGAGACACCGTCGGTTCCAAAACAAGATCGATTCGGCAAGAAAGTCATGTTGTGCGTTTGGTGGAACTTTGAAGGAATCGTGCAGTTTGAGTTGGTTCCGAATGGTCGTGCCATCAGTGCCGAACTTTACTGTCAGCAACTGGAGCGGGTCTACGAAAAGTTGAAGCAAAAGTACTCGACTCTGATCAACCGAAAGCGCGCTTTGATGCAGCAGGACAATGCCAAGCCACACGCCGCCAGGAAGACCAAAGACGAGTTTGAAGAGCTGGACGGCGTTGAGGTTCTGCCACATCCAGCCTACAGTCCTGACTGTGCTCCATCAGATTACGGCCTTTTCCGCTCAATGCAACACTTTCTGAAGGGCTGCCGATTCGACTTGTTTGATGAAGTCGAAGAAGCGTGTCAAGAATTCTTTGATTGAAGCCGGCTGAATGGTACTTTCACCAGATCCGAAAGCTTGCAGATCGATGGCAGAAAGTCTTGGAAAATGATGGTCTTTATTTTGAGGAATAATTTTTGTTGTTTTTGTTATTACTTGGCGAGTAAAATTTCAATTTTTTGCAAGTGTTTATGAACTTTTGGGACAACCTAATATTTCTGGATTTTAAAGTAACTGTATATTGTTGAGATTGAGAGAGAAATAAGTAGAAATATAGAAATGGCACTGATAATCTTGTTAGGTTTGCCATTTAAAAAAAAAAACAATGAAACAGTTTAAACTTTATAGATTAATTCTATTTGTTTTATTGTTTCAGGGTTATAATATTAGCAAGATGTTTCATCAGGCTGAACATTTCTTCACTTCGATTGGCCTGAAAAATATGACCGAAAAATTCTGGAATCAATCAGTGTTTGAGAAAATTTCTAAAAGAGACATGGTGTGTCACGCGTCTGCCTGGGATCTCATGGCAACGAATGACTTCAGGTGAATATCAGGTTAAAATTCAAGTAGAACTGAGATGTACGAGTCCGACCAAGAAAGAAATAGTAAAAAAAATCATTTTTTCTATTGAATTGTACGTATTTGACTTTAAATTTATTATAGTTACCGATCTTATTCTCTGATAATGTCGTGTATGGACGACCGTATTTTCAAAAATCGGCACGTTTATACATGCACACATAAAAAATTCAAGATTATTTTTAAAATACTGTGTTTCGCTGAATTGTAGTAAGCTTTCCCATTTATGATTAGTAGATATAGTTTATACATAATGACAATATCAATTAACCAGTACAATTTAATACAGAATTTTAAAAGATTTAAAACTTTATAAATTATTCTAATTAATATGTTTACAAAATGAAAAAAAAAATGGACAAAGCTCTTCTGGGCTGTGCTTGTTTGAAGTATTTTGGGGAATTTCCTGGAGAGATGGTGCACCAGAGATTTTGTTGATTTGTTTTTGAGTTCCTTTCTTTATTAGTTCCAGAGCTCCGACCACAACAGTTTTACTGTTTAAGTGTCACATTTATTCTATTTTCATCTCCAGGTTTTTTTTATTTGCCGAGTTTTTCAAAAACCTTTGCAGAGATGTTTATGTCAGTGTGAAAATCTTTTCTTTGATAATAATGTCTGCGTGATTTGCTTGTATTGTTCGATCTGCGTCGATAGAAAAATGACAGAGGGTGGTCACACCTGTTCCTTAAACTACAGATTTTGGTTGTTGTTGATGTTGTTGTTGCTGCTGCTGCTGTTGTTGTTGTTGTTGTCGTTGTTGTTGTTGTTGTTGTTGTTCTTCTTCTTCTTCTTCTTCTTCTTCTTCTTCTTCTTCTTCTTCTTTCCTTTAATTTCTGCTGCATACACATTTTCTTCCGAAGATCTAAAGGTCAGAAATGGCTTCATGACATTTCCCTTTGAGCAACTTTGTAAAAAAAAAAAAAAAATCCATCAAAAACTAAAATTACACATATTTTACATAGATAAAGCTCTTCGTAATGTCAGAATTGTACAACCTGTGAGTAGAGTTTTTTTTGTATTTCTTTAAGGCATAGGCTACCAGAAATCCCTTCATTGACTCTATCGGAACCTTTTCCAATCAATCCGAGTGCTCCAACTACAACTGGAAATATTGATGTCCTCATGTGCCACATTTTTAAGATCTCCTCTTCAAGATCCTTTTACTTTGATAGTTTTTTTTATTTTTTTTTATTAAAGACTAGCAGTAGAGCACGGCGTTGCCCGGGGATGTAACAGTAAGAGATAGATCAAGTATCGACCATTATAAAGACTGAAAAATAAAATTAACAAAGGTTATTGTTTAAGGTTGACGGACACGCATGTCTTAATTAGTTTTATTTTTTTTATTTTATTTCTTAATTAGTTTTTTTTTAGTTTTTTTAGAGATAGATTCTTAATTAGTCTTAATTAGTTTTTTTTTAGTTTTTTTTTAACGAATTGGTCAAACCCAAAATCAAACAAAAACATTGTTTTCAATCGTTATGAGTCTACCGATTGAATAGAATTTTATTATAAACAATTGTCTTGTAAATGGAATTTTTAAAGCCTTCTGAATGTAAAAATAAAGAAAAAAGTGTGCAAGACAATAAGAAACACTACCTGCCAAAAAAAAAAGTGAAGTTTTGTTGAAATCGGTTGAAAAATGTAGGAAATCGGATCCCATATATAAACGAACACACACACACACACACACACACACACACACACACACACACACACACACACACACACACACACACACAACCTGGGGTTTTATAATAAGTATAACTCGATATGAGTTCTCCCCCTTTCATTCTGGCGACAGAATCATGTTTAATCGTGTTTTCAAATTGATTTCGTGCAAAAACAATTGTGTTTTTCCAATTTTTGGCGCTGTCAGAACCACTGCAAAGTAATTTTACGTCGTCCTGTGAAGTTTTGTTGAAATCGGTTGAAAAATGTAGGAAATCCGATCCCATATATAAACGAACACACACACACACAACCAACCTGGGTTTTATAATAAGTATAATTCGATATGAGTTGTCCCCCTTTCATTCTGGCGACAGAATCGTGTTTTATCGTGTTTTCAAATTGATTTCGTGCAAAAACAATTGTGTTTTTCCAATTTTTGGCGCTGTCAGAACCACCGCAATGTAATTTTACGCAGTCCTGTGAAGTTTTGTTGAAATCGGTTGAAAAATGTAGGAAATCCGATCCAATACACACACACACACACACACACACACAACACACACACACACACACACACACACACACACACACACACTGCGTTTTATAATAAGTAATATCTTCAAAGATACATTATAATCTGAAGGGATTGCCATGTCAATAAGAAAGCACATTCTGTTTCTGTGGTCCTATCTCCGTCCGGACCTGAATGATGTTCCTACCAGTTTCTTGCAGTTTCCTTTCTGTAAAAGTTGCATATTTTCCAGTGCAGATATTGACCCACTCTATCAAGCCGAGTTTTATATTCAGTTGGCGCTAACACTGTACAACCTGTTGGTCAATTGTCTCTGGATATTTATCACATTATTATTATTATTATTATTAGTGTACTCGTGTCGTCAATTTTGAAGGAATGTATAATAAGTAATATGCATTATATTGTAATTAATTTTCGTTTAATCCAAGTACAATTTCGTAATTTAAAATAGTTTGTTGTTAACGTTAATAATTGAACAGTGTACAGTTTATAAACACCTCAGGAACGAAATCCGTATTTCATCCTTATTGTACGTGTGTGAAAGTGTACGCACGCACACATACACGCATAGCTTTTTTAAGCGCGCCTTGTGTGTTCTTGAGAGTTAAATTTGCTGAGAAATTAGAACATCATCGTTAGTGATAGTCGATCTCACAATCCAAGACACTTCGAAGAAAAGTAACTTTATGTTAAGTTTAATCCAAGCTGAAATAAAATATAAACCTCGGCTAAGTTTTGTCTGACATATATTTATCTCCTCTCTCCATCCCTTTCTATTTCTCCCCTTCTCTCTCTCTCTCTCTCTTTCTTTCTTTCTTTCTTTCTTTCTTTGCAGTTGTGTATCTGTTTCCTTTCGTGGTTACTTTTATTCATCACTTTCACTTTAGTCGTAGTTCGCAGAGAGAGGGAAAGAAGTTTGTCAGCGCAGTACCTTTTTGCGTGTGGACGTGAATGCGATCATGACGTCTGTGCGCATCCATTACCGAGAAAGATGTTTGCTTGACACCCTAACTGTCAGGGTTTCAATTCTGGGTAGTGGATGCGCACTGCTGATGAGTCCCATAGGACGAAACGGCCGTCCAGTGCTTTCTGCATTCTGTTGAGGTTTCTTTCAGACTTGATGAATTACTTAAAATATAATTATCAAATCCTCGTAATACTTTCTAATATATATATATATATATATATATATATATATATATATATATATATGCAGTTTATTATTATTATTATTATTATTCTTCTTCTTTAGTTAACACGCATATTATGCCCTATCATTACTCCCAATAAATAAAGGACCTTTCCATTTTCATTGTGAGAAAAGCTAGAAAGGAAATATATCAGAGACGCTGTTTTGTTTTAGTGAGAAAAAAAGGAAAGAAAAAACGAAATAGAAAGTAAGAAAGAAAGAAAGAAAGAGAAAAAGAAAGAAAAAATAGTAAAGAAAGAAAGAAATGCATAAAGAAAGGATGGGACCGTCAATTTTTAATATTTGCATTTATATCTTCTTACTTCTTGGCCTACTTATGATTGTTATTGCAATATATTCTTAAAGTTGCCAAGCTCAAAATATTTAACGATGAAACAGGACATTTCCCATTAGGGTATTACATAGTGACGGAACTAGCAACTACATTATTTACATTATTCAGACTGTTATCCTCATCTTCATCGCCATATTCACAATGTTTCGGCCGTTGTACGCTCAGGCCTTCTTCAGGTGATTGGAATTTCAAATCGAACCCTTTATTTCATTCACCGGGGTGGATTGTTCTAGTTCTACGTGCTATGCCTCTTCTGAATGTCTCGGTTATTTCCCTTTAACTTAACTCCTCAAGTTTTTTGGTTCACCACTGCTGTGGCTGGATATTAAAATCCCAGCTCTTTTGGTCTAGTAACTCGATCTAACCAACGTCGTTGGTTAGATCCAACGTCTTTATCCAATTTTTCCGTCTTATCCTCAAGGTTACATGACCCAGAGAATAAAGAGATCGGTTAGATCCAGGGTCATTAACTTAAGAATTAAGATTCATCAGAAAATTCAAATAGAAAAATGGTAAAGAGAGGAAATTTTCATATTTATAGTAATGTTTTTAAACTTGCAATTTCTTCTTCGTCTTCTTCTTCTTCTTCTTCTTCTTCTTCTTCTTCTTCTTCTTCTTCTTCTTCTTCTTCTTCTTCTTCTTCTTCTTCTAAAGTAATGTTGATTTTAACAGACCTTTTTATCGTAATCACAATCAAAGGAAGTTTGAATCTGATCCATTCAAAGTTTTTCGGAAGTGAAAATTGTATATTGATAGTCAACAGGATCATCATTAGGCCGCTGGTCCTGAGTTGAATGAGAATTTATAAAGCATGAAAATTTCCCCCTCAAACAAGAGACTTTGGTCAGTGACACAAGAAATTTGACCCTTTACAAAGGTTGAGATGTTTCGTCCTTTTGAAAATACAAACCAACAGTTTTCCTGAAAAACAAACGAATAAACTCTGCAATTGTTTCAAACATTTTTTTCAGTTCTTATTTTGAAATCATTTTTCTTTTCAGGATCAAAATGTGCACTGAAATCACAATGGAAGATTTTGTCACAATCCACCATGAAATGGGTCACATACAATATTATCAACAATACGAAAAGCAACCTGTTTATTTCCGAAATGGCGCAAACCCTGGTGAGTAACTTTTAATTCAAACGTTTAAGGTAGCAATTTTTATTGGCGGAGTCAAGGAGCGTGGGGTGGACGATAGCCTTACTAATGATGATGATGCTCCTGATAGACTAGTTGTTGTTGTTGTTATTAATATTATTATTTGTATATGTTTTATTTCCTGCTTTTTATCCTGTAGATCCGGTTTCAAACTATGGTCCTTAGCCCCTATAGGAGAATTACCATTTAATTAATAGCATTTTACTGAGTATATGGGATGTTCCTAGTAGGGCGAACTTCTGGGTAACTTGCATGTTGATGTTACCTGGGACACTGTTAGTAAAATTGTCCATTCCTTTTCTCACGAGAGCTTCGATTACTATTGGTACAGTCTCAATCTTCATTCCCCACATCCTGTTAATCTCGATCTCTGGGTTCTTGTATTTGGACAATTTCTCGATAATTTTCATGGAAGTGTTTCTCTCAGATGGCACTGCTTATGTCAATAAGCATACACTTCCTGAATTTCTTGTCTCTTATGATAATATCAGGTCTGTTGGCTTTTATTTCCCTGTCAGTTTGAATTGGCATGTCCCAGAGGATAGTTACATCGTTATTTTGGGTAACTGTGTTTGGTTGGTGGTCATACCATCTCTCAGTGATTTCGATTATTATTATTATTATTATTATTATTATTAATTAAAGAAAAGAAAGGAAAAATCATATTAGTAGTAGTAGCAGAAGCAGTAGTAGTGGCGGGAAAATGAAAGCGGCAGTCATGGTAGCAGTATTGTGGCGTAAAGTGACAAAAATATTTTATATACTTTATGAATTTATGTGACGTATTGAAAATAATAATTGTTCGGCAACTGAAAATGTTTGGTTTGTATTTCTTCTTTTATTAATTTTTTTATGCCAGGATTTCATGAAGCCGTTGGTGACACTCTTGCTTTGTCAGTTTCAACCCCACAACATCTTGAAAAATTGAGTTTAGTAAAAAATTACACTAACTCATATGGTAAGTGGTATTTTGTTCGTAAAAGGATTTACCTAAAACATCAAAACCTGTAAAATCGAGTTATATTCTTAAATAACCCGGTCAGATCTAGACGTTCATTACGGATGCCACAATTGAAAAATATTTCTTGAATCTTTTACTTTAGTTTTAATTCTTAATTCAAAGCTAATAGATTAAATTTAAAATTCCCAAACGCAAAATACTTTGCTGTATTTCAAAAACTAATTTAAGTAGACTGGAGGGAATTTTCGTTTTGGAATCATGAAACATTGCCATTTTTCACCATCTCTTTATTAAAAAATCTTTCAAAAAAAAAAAAAAAAATTACCTTTCTGAAACTTTATTTACGCAAGATGAGCTGATTTAAAGCTTAATTAATTTAATTTAAAACAAATATTACCTTAAGTTTAAAATATCGCCGAAATGCATTTTTAACACGGCAGTAGCTGTTTATTTTTAAGACAATAGTGTCCATAATATATCTTATTCATATAAGCAATTAAAATCTTTTCTAATTAAATAATGTCTTAGTTTAATTGCATTTTTATTTTAAGATTCAGAGCAGATTTTTGGTAACTCGGGGTCCTGTTTCACGGAAAGAAATTTACTATTTAAATCCTCTAAATTCTGTTTTTAACTAATGTAAAAAACATTTAATTTTACGAAATTTCATAAAATTAAATAAGTGTGTACGTGTATGGCGGGTGGAGGAGCAATAGATGTAAAAAAATTTCTAAGATTTTCTAAGAAAAAACATTTCTAAAATAATTTAATTACTTTGTGAATAAGTTCAGAAAAATTTCATTAAAATAGGACAATTGATTTTTGTAAGAATTTCCAAATAAATGGGATTTTCATCGCAACAAAGACTCAGATTTCCTATACTAATTTTATGGTACCCCCATTCACATAAGAATTTATGGTACCCCCACTGGCATAAGAATGTATGGTACCCCCACTGTCATAAGAATTTATGGTACCCCCATTCACATAAGAATTTATGGTACCCCCACTGACATAAGAAAACAAGACTTTTAAACAAAATTTCGAACGTTCTAAAAAGGTTAAAAAAATATAATTTAATAATCCAAAAATCATTTGGTCTTTCCTCTTAATAATAGTATAAAAATTGATTATAAAACTTTGTTTTTATTAAGTTTGGACCATTTTTTTCATCATGTATACTAATTTTTTAGCGAATTGATGGTGGTACATAATATATACATATGCATTTCTATTATTCGATTTCAGAAGCTGAAATTAATTATCTAATGCTAATGGCTTTGGACAAACTTGTATTCGTTCCTTTTGCGTACGTCATGGACAAATTCCGTTGGAATGTGTTTAGTGGTGAAATTTCGGAAGATGAATATACAGCCAAATGGTGGGAATACAAGTAAGTACTGAAACAAAAAAATTATATTTATTTATTTTTCTGTTCATTATAATTCAACATTTAATGAGATATCTGAACATGGCGGTTTTCAGAATATCTTTTTGAGTCGTTTTTTAAATTTTTTTTTATTAAAAAAACTTGTCAATTTTAATTGAACGCAAAGTAATAAAAAAAAAATGGGTTAATTTGCAGTATAGCACCCGCGGTCAGTTCGCATAAAAAATTTCCAGAATACTTACATTTATGTGTAATTGTACATGCTCCATTCGAATCTGGCTTGATAAATTTGATAAAATCTACAATTTTGGAGTTATCGACAGTAAAATTTCGGATTCATTCACGTTGTTGGCAACCACCATTACAGGCGTTTTTTGCATACATTCGCTGCGGAAAGCTAAACGCGGAAGAATGTAGTTAACGGGCTTTTTTCACTGATCTTATATGTCTCAACTTGTCTCAATTACTGCGCAAGAGAACTATTTACGTACAAACGCTCAGTTGTGCGCAATAATCAAGACAAGTGAATATTACTCATTGTTATTCCGCAGCGAATGTATGCAGACCACGCCTGTAATGGCTGCCGCAACGTGAATGAATCCGAACTTTTACTGTCGATAACTTCAAAAACGAAAGATGTTATCAAATTTATCAATTCATTTTCGAAAGAAGAACGTACGTTTACACCTAAATGTAAGTATTCTGGAAATTTTTAATGAGAACTAAGCGCGGGTGCTAAACTGAAAATTAACCAAAAAATGTTCAGGACGAGCTATAAGCACAGTGCCGGATTAACCTATAGGGCCTCAAGATTTAGGGAGCTTTGGCTGGAGGTGTATAATATTTTTGATACTGTCATCGGCCTTTTTAAGACATGCTGTCATAACGCATTGTAGACTCCAAATCAGGGACCGGCAACCTTTTGCTATGTGCCGACTTAGGATTTTAAAATCATTCAGTGTGCCAACAGCATATGTATTTTTATACAAGTTAAGGCCAATATACTTATTCTACAACATATTTTATATAATAATATATACAATAATATGTAAACCACATTAATAGAAATAAACTGTTTTTAAAAGTTTTTTTTAAAGTTTTTATTATTAAAGGGATTCCAACGAGTGAGCAGTTTTGAAACAGCTAAATATCATCTTTGCGTTGTTTGTAGTTATTGGTTCGGACTTCGTGATGTCATTTGCGGCTGCGTGCCATTGGAAATTGCTTGGCGTAGCACATGTGGCACGCGTGCTGTAGGTTGCCGATCCTTGCTCTAAATAACCCTTTAGTTATTTAAAACAGCCATCATCACCTCGGCTTTACTCAAATTGTTTAATTTAACACTCTCCCATATTCCCCATGAGAATGTGAGATTTGGTCTCACAATGGAATAGCCTAGGACCTCTTTTCATATAAATCCGGCCCTGTATTCGTCCTCAATGTTTGGGGCATAATTCAAAACGTACGCAATGAGGGATTGATTTCGACATCTATCGGTGTTCATCGGCAAATCCTTGACAAATCGCATCATCTATCAATCACGTACACACACAACCCACTTTATATTGTAGTGGACGCCTACGTACACCACGCCCACAAATTACTCAACACTAATTGGACGGAAAATAAACAATACCTTTTGTACAGACAATTTACGCATCGCACGAGCCACATAAAAATTTCTCGTGTTTTTGGTTCACCAAACTAGCTATAGAAAAAAAATCAACGATTGGTCGATTTTTGGCCAATCACATTGAATGACACTTTCTTCAATATCCTTCCCGCGCTCGTCCTGGGAGCCACCTTACATCTATAAAAAGTAGAAATTAAAGAAATAACTTCAGTAGATTATAATTTTTCATAACCTAAACCACTTACGTGTATATTCAATTTTCTACTCACAAACACACACAGATATAGTGATTTTCCAAGCGTAGCTGTGGCACAAGGCCGAAAGTAGGTGGTACCCAGTGAGGATCGAACTCACTACTCAATCGTAATTGCTCTAGCAAGACAAGCTTGCTAACCATTACACCATCTCGAGGTGCCCCAACACACAAAGATATAAACTGCACTCACACAACACAGTGTACTGTCTGTTTTCAAGCCAAGTGAACTATTCGAACTATATCATTCTCCTGCACAAATATTTCAACTTTCAAACTCAAACATCAAACATTCTTAAACTACCAACAAATTTAAACAAAAGACATTATTACAACATACATTGTTCTTCACACAATACAAGGGAAACCACTTCGTGTGATTTAATCTTTATTGTTATTAACAGAATTATATGTATATGCTTGTTTTAAATGTATGTTTTTACTTGTTGATTTTCATTGATCTCTCGTCATTCATTCTTGTGTTTTCTTTACAAATTTAAAGTGGAGTGTTAATGTAAAAACGCAACCTTGATCAAAAACCATTCTAATTCTTTTTTAACCAACACCATTAACTAACCCACAATATATTAGGGTGATTTTCTAAGCGTAGATTAGATGTAGCGCGAGACCAAAAGTGAATCGAATTCACTACTCAGTCGTAATCTAACAAGACAAGCTCGTTAACCATTATACCACGTTGAAGTGCCTAGAATTTAAGTTTATTTACTATATGCTCGTATAATCAATTTCAATTGTGACACATACACTTATTATGTTTTTGACTTCTTTCGAAAATAATTTCATTAATAGCCTCTAAAGATTTTCACGGTACACAAACTGAAAATCTTTGATATAAAACAAAAGAAATTTAGAACATTCTAGCTCTAGCAGCAGATCTTTTTGAATAAATCTTTAGTATCATAACCCTGACGATATAGGATTTTTAAGGGGAGATAACTTAAATAAAAACCTACAGCCGGTTCAATGGCGATAATATCTGAATATTTTCTTTTTTATTACCATAGATGCAAGTATCAGGGTATTCGAGCCCCCGTAAAAAGAACAGAAGATGATTTCGACCCAGGAGCTAAAATGCACATTGCTGGTGCAGTACCTTACATTCGGTAAGTCTCACCTTTGTAAATTGACTCACTATAAGTTGCCAACCTTTATTGTTTTTTTAAACATTTCACCCCCAACCAAGGCAATAAAGCCACTAAAACGCAAGAGATTACTGAGTGTGAGAGAATATGAGCAAAGAAAAACATTATTAAGGACGTTAGAGGACAATAAAAGAGCAGGAGTTAAGAAAACAGAAGATAACGAGTGACATTGCGTTTATATGTTTGAAGATCAAATTTGACTGGAAAGCAAGAAGCCGGAAGAGAGTTCCACAAGCGAGAAGTGCGAGAGAAGAAACTGTTAGTATAGAACTTACGGTTGCAGTTATGGGTATATCAGAAAGAATCTTATGATTGTGGAAAATGTCACCCCCCACAAGATCGTATAAAACGATTTTGAACTCCATCAAGGCTAGAAAGTACGGATTGAAGAGCTTCAACCTCAATGTTATTATTATTATTATTGTACCCCTACCGTCAAAAAAAAAAAAAAAATGACGGCAATTGTTAGGAAGTCTTAATAGTAATAATGCAAGAAAACAAAAGTCTTGAAACAATGTATCGACATTCAATAAACTGAAGATAAAGAATTCCCAACTAAAAATAGAAGCCAATGAGCCGTTTAATTAATTCGTTCCTTTTATAATTTTTAGACGTTCACATGTATCTTTGATTCGTTGATTACTCCTGGTATTGTCTAAATCGCTTTTTGCTCAAGATCTTTTTATGCTAAAAATGTTGTATGTCTAATATAGCAGTGAAATGGAAATATCTCACGGAAGAAAAAGATTATCAACAGAACAAAGATGGCGCTAATAAAGTTTATTTCAAGAACAAGTTGAAGTAAGACGGTCAATTAATAGACAAAGATATCTGAGTGCCTCACAGGAAAGGCTTGGAGAAGTAAGATTGCAATCTAACAAAAGTAGAAGTAAAGGAACTGATTAATTAAATGGTTCATTTTGCTTGGTTTGTAATTTTGTGTAAATGCAGATAAATATACTATTTGTATAGAAAATTTTATTAAAACGACTAAGGGAAGTAATCACTCATAAACTAACAAATTGATTTATCTCCCTTTTCACTACAGGCGGTACTGGAAATAAAACACTTTGATACTTATTATGTAGCTTGAATATTATTATTATTTTTTTTTATTTTTTTTGATTTCTTTGTCTTATATCTAATTTTATCCTATTTATTTCTGTCTTTGAGAGTCTGTTTCGAACGATGTTCCTACGGACATTGGCAAGCATGTTTGGATTGAGGTTAGGTCTTATCGTTTCCCACCATACTTCTCCATATTTGGTTTGTTTGATTGGTGGTGTTCTTTGCTGGGTTTTCGAGTGCAGTGAAAAAGGATTATTATTATTATTATTATTATTATTATTATTATTATTTTTCCTTTGATTTCTGGCGTTTACACATTTCTTTCCGGGTCCCACCCAGGGACCTAAGGTTAGAAATGGCATCATGACACTTTCCACTGAAAAAAAAAAATTACATAGATAAAGCCCTTCGTAAAGTGTGATCTGTACTTGTCAGAACAATTTTTTGTATCTCCTTGAAGCATGGACTTCCAGGAATTCCTTCAATTAGTCTACTGGAATCTTTTCCAACCAGTCCTAGGGCTCCAACTACAACAGGGATTGTTGATGTTCCCATATGCCACATTTTCGAGATTTCTATTTCAAGGTCCTAGTATTTTATTATTATTATTATTATTATTATTATTATTATTATTCATTTAGTTTCTGGTGTATACTCGCTTCTTACCGGGTCCCAACCAGAAACCTGAGGTCAGAAATACCATCATGATATTTTTCACTGAGCATTTTTGCACCCCCCGCAAAAAAAATTACTGAGATTACACACATTTTAGATAGATAAATAATTTTTGTGTATTTCTTTAAGGCATAGCCTACCAGGGATCACTTCAATCAGTCTATCAGAAACTTTTCCACTCAATCCGGGTGCTCCAACTACAACTGGAATTCTTGATGTCATCACGTGACACATTTTTTTAAATGACCTTGTATTTTTTTAAGTTAAATTACAATCTGCAGGGATTGCCATGTCAACAAAAAAGCATATTTTGTTTTTATGGTCTCTGATCACGATGTTTGGGTACTGATGAAGATGATAATCATGTCCCTTTCGTGAGGTTTTTCTATAAATATTTTTATGGCAATTATTCTAATGAACTTTTCTCTTTTTTTAAATGTTGTTATTTTATTTTCCAATCAGTCAAATTATAGATATGAGAACTAGTTAGAACTTCATGGAGACACTGAGGTATTATGGTGACTGTAGTAAAAATGGTAAGTAAGAATGTGTTGTTTTGCTGTAAGGAATACTGTGGTAAGTTTGTGTCAGTAATTGTGGCTAACTAAGTTTAAGATAAGACAGCTTGAATCCAGCCTTTCCCTCTACCTCTTTTGGCTCTGTGCCACATTTTTGTATTTGTAAAATAAATATTACTTTCCTATGAATGTAAGTGCGTTACTAGATTGGCGGCAAGGTCTCATCATTTGGAAGTTGAAATAGCTAGTTGTAACCGTAAGTTCTATGCTAACAGTTTCTTCTATCGCACTTCTCGCTTGTGAAACTCTTTTCCGGTTTCTTGCTTCCCAATCAACTTTGATCTTCAAAAGTGTAAATGCATTGTCAATCGTAATCTTCTGTCTTTTTAATTGTTGTTCTTTTATTGTTTTCTCTCCCTAATAGTATTTTTTTCTCATATTCTCTAAGATTAAATAACCTCTTGCATAAAAGTGGCTTTATTGCTTTGCTTGGGGTGAAATCATTAAAAGAAAAATTGAATTGAATTATTATGATATGGTTTTAACTGGTCCGGTCAGACCACAGACTGTTTCGGGTCTAAGAACATGGACTCCCGTAAACCGGTTGCGTGTCTGCAGTAGTATTTTCGGAATTTATACATTAATATCGTGGTATGTCCTCAAACAGAACCTCTTCTATAGACTTGCCATATTTTGAAACAGGAACGATCGTTTCTTTATTATTTAATAAAATATATTAATGAAACTGTGTTAGCTTTACGAAAATTTACTTTGATGTTTCAACAGCTTCAAAGTTGTTGTTAAAATTGTTTCTAACGAAATTGTTTGTGACAAAATTGTTTCTAACGAAATTGTTTCTGACGAAATTGTTTCTGAAAAAATTGTTTCTGACAAAATTGTTTCTGACAAAAATGTTTCTGACGAAATTGTTTCAGACAAAATTGTTTCTGATAAAATTGTTTCTGACAAAATTGTTTCTGACGAAATTGTTTCTGACAAAATTGTTTCTGAAAAAATTGTTTCTGACGAAATTGTTTCTGACGAAATTGTCTCCGAAATCAAGGAAAGAACTGTTTTTGTCGTCTATTATTTATTAGGAATATATATATTTATTTAATTTTACAGTTATTTCGTCAGCTATATCATCCAGTTTCAATTCCATAAAGCCCTCTGCGATAAAATTGGCTTTAAGGGACCCTTGCACAAATGTGACATTTATGAAAAGGAAGAAGCTGGAAAGGCATTTGCGTAAGTGATTTTTTTCTTTTTGTTGTTTTTTCTTTTCATTTTTCTAAATTTTTATTTATTTTTATGTTTTTTATTTTTATTTACTCTTACTTTTAATCTGTATTTTTTAAATTTTTATTTATTTAAATTTTTAAAAATTTTTAATTAATTATTTCAAAAATATTTTTATTTATTTGTATTTTTAATTTTACTTTTATATTTTTGACATTTTTTATCTATTTTATTTATTTATTTTTATCTATTCTTAATTTTATTTTTTATTTATTTTAAACTAAAATTATTTAATTATTTTTAGAATTTTTATTTATTTAATTTTAATTTATTTTATTTTATTTCATTTTATATTTTTATATTTGTTTTTCATTTTTCAAAATCTTTTTTTTAGTTTAATCTATTTGCAAAGACGTGCTGCATTTAGGCTTCTTTAAATCGCATTATTTGGAATTCAATTTAGAGAATTGTTTTTATCTTAATGAAAACAACTGATTGATTTCTTTAACTGCTCCAGAACATGGTTGACAGTACAAAGCAAAATGCGTTTCTTTTGTAAATTACATACAGAAGAAAATTCTAACCGCCTTTTGATCCATCTTCGTAACTGTATAAAATTGATGTAATGGAATAACCAGCAACCCCCATGAGATGGTAACCACCTATAAGTATACGTTAGGACAGTGGACAGCAGAGTCGCACTGTTAATCAGATCTTGGCCGCTGTTAAACTCTCCACCTTTGGGCAGAGAGGAACCCGGACGTGGCTATGCCGAAGGGCAGAGTTTCGTCCGGGGAGGTAGACAGGCCCGATTCCGTTTATGCGGGGGTCTACGTGGATTTTTTGACCGAGCCTACGGGCTCGGGAACCCCACATTAAATTCGGCCTTGTGCCACATGTGACTGCGTGGGGCAGTTGCTAAATAGCGTCGCACTGGAATCTGTTAATCAGATCTTGGCCACTGTCAAACTCTCTTCCTTTGGGCACAGAGGAACCCGTCGAGGCTATGCCAAAGGACATTGTTTCGTTCGGGGAGGTAGACAGACCTGAACCCTTTTATGCGAGGTTACGGGGAATTTTTGGCCGAGACTGTTAGAATTTTTGGGTACAGTTATGTACTAGTGAGCCAGTCAAAATGAGCTGACTCATTTTATAGAAGGGTTAACCAATCAGAAAGCTCAAAATATTCAATCCGACGTGTATAAAGGCAGCGATTTTGTTGTTTTTTTTTCTCCCAAAATATTTTCACTGCCAACCTGATATCGAAGACTTAAAGAATTAACAGCCGCTAACTTTCTCCGAATCTTCACTGCCAACCTCTGATATTGAAGGCATTACGGACTTCACTGGATTCCATATTCAGAGACTACGGCAAACATGGTCAACAGAGACTACTGGCTCGGATTGCTCCGCATTAAACTCGGCTCTGTGCCACATCTTTCCTTGTGGAGAGGCAAGTAAATACCGTCGAGCTGGGATCTGCGAGAACTATCGGCCTTCCGATAGCAGCGCGCACACAACTGTACTGACTTGCGACGACCGTGCGCATAACTATTACTTCCGTGCTTGTTGTACTGGTTTCTATAATAAACCTGTTACTATTTATCCACCGTGTTTGTCCAGTCCATATTCCTATTAGCACGGAATATAACAAAAATGTTTCTAATCACTGACAGAAATATGTACACAAAGCAGTCTCCAGACCGATAGAAAATTAGTTCGGGAAAACTGGTTAGATTTTTGGTGACGATGCCGAGACGAGCAAAGTTTTTTTTTAATTAAAATCCTAATACGTCTAAAATCAAATAAATTTTTAAAATCAAACAAAAATCTTACTTCTTATCAATAGTAGTTGGATCTTTAATAAATGTAGAAGGCATGCACACACATACGCGCACACACACGCATATGCACGCACACACACGCACAAACACACACATGCGCGCACACACACACACACACATGCGCGCACACACACGCACATGCGCGCACAAACACACACATGCACACGCACATGCGCGCCCAAATACAAATTAATAAAACTTAAGGGTGAAATCCAAATGAAAAATCGACGATGTCAATTTTTGGTTAAAAAAATCGAAGAGGCCATTGGTATCAAGAAACAAGAATTCTGTGTTGGGTTTTCTGCTTTTATCCGAAACTAAATTGAAAATAAAAGAGAAATTACAAAAAAAATATAACGCAACATAGAAAATGTCGACATGAAAATCTGGAGAAAAGTTCATTAGAATAATTGCCATAAAAATATTTATAGAAAAACCTCACGAAAGGGACATGATTATCATCTTCATCAGTACCCAAACATCGTGATCAGAGACCATAAAAACAAAATATGCTTTTTTTTGATTGTAAATAACACGTTAATTTTTGATTGTAATAACACGTTAATTTTTGATTGTAAATAACACGTTAATTTTCTTTATATAGAAAATTAATGCATACAGAATAATTCTTAAAGGATGATAAAAGGTACTCTGAGAATAAAAAGGTACTCTGAGAATAAAAAGGTACTCTGAGAATAAAAATTAAGAATATTTTCTTATAAAATCCAAAGTGATTTAACCACAATGTTAAAATAAAAAAAGATATGTTGTTTTTTTTTAAATAATTTGTTTTTACATCTATTCGTTTAAAAAAAACATCGTGATCAGAGACCATAAAAACAAAATATTTTTTTTTGATTGTAAATAAAACGTTAATTTTTGATTGTAAATAACACGTTAATTTTTGATTGTAAATAACACCTTAATTTTCTTTATATAGAAAGGGACATGATTATCATCTTCATCAGTACCCAAACATCGTGATCAGAGACCATAAAAACAAAATATGCTTTTTTGATTGTAAATAACACGGTTGTTTTTTTTTGATTGTAAATAACACGTTAATTTTCTTTATATAGAAAGGACATTTATCATCTTCATCAGTAACATTATGCTTTTTTTTTATTAAATAACGTAAATTTTGATTGTAAATAACACGTTAATTTTTTGATTGTAAATTTATTTTCTTTATATAGAAAATTAATGCATACAGAATAATTCAAAGGATTTTAAGAATAAAAAAGGTACTTTTTCTGAGAATAAAAATTAAGAATATTTTCTTATAAAATCCAAAGTGACATTTAAAATAAAAAAAGATATGTTGTTTTTTTTTAAATAATTTGTTTTTACATCTATTCGTTTAAAAAAAAAACTGGTTATTTTTTTACTTTCTAAATATTTTAGTAGTACTTTTATTAGGCTACTAACATTTTAATGGCGTTTTTTTTTTTATTAGGATGCTAACATTATAATGGTGTTTTTTTTATTATGCTTCAAACATTTTAATAGCGTTTTTTTTATTAAGCTATTAACAATTTAATTTATTATTATGCTAACATTATAATGGTGTCTTTTTTTTATTATGCTGCGGACATTTAATGGTGTTTTTTTTTATTATGCTTCTAACATTTTAATGGTGTTTTTTTTATTATACTACCAACATTTTAAAGGTGTTTTATTTATTATGGTACTAACATTTTAATGTCTTTTTAAAAATATTATGCTATTAACATTGTAATGTTTTTTATTATACTACTAACATCTCAATGCTTTTTATTATGCTACTAATATTTTAAATGTGATTTTTTTTATTATGCTATTAAAATTTTAATGTTTTTATTATGCTTCTAACATTTCACTTGTGTGTTTTTATTATGCCACGAATATATTAATGGTAGTTTTACTATTAACATTCTAATGGTGCTTTTTATTATTATGGTATTATTATTTTAATGGTGTTTTTTTATTATGCTATTAATATTTTAATGGTACTAATAATGATAAAATTAGAAACGAACATTTGGATTAGGAGCGTTGTATTAGATTGGCAGTTAGGTCTCATCGTTTTACGGCTGAAAGTAGTTGTATCCATAAGTTCTATTCTAGTAGTTTCTTCTCTTGTACTTCTTGCTTGTGGATCTCTCTTCCGGCTTCTTACTTTCCTTTCAAATACGATCTTTAAATTGTAGATACAATGTCAATTGTCAACTGCTGTCAAAAAAGACAGACGTTGTCGGGTGACATTGCATTTAAAATTTAAATATCGTGTCCTTGTCTTTTCTCTTCAAAAACATTTTCTTTCACTTTCAATAGCCTCTTGATTCATAGTGGCTTTATTGCCTTGCTTGAGATGAAATTATAAAAATATATAAGAAATTTGTTTAATCTATATGGCTAGAATATGCTCATTCTACCCGGCCCAGGGATTGAACCCATAATTTCTATGTCAACAAATTCACGAACCAACGTATTAATCCACTAGGCAAGATCAAGATTAGATATCCCCAGACAAGAGCAAGACCAGACCAAAAATAGAGTATTGCTTCCATATCTGGGGGTGGAGTTCAAAAGTATCTGTGCAGCTTCGTGGGTGATTAATTATTTTTCTGTCTACCCCCCCGCCGCTTTCTCATAGATGACACATCGCGTGTCACTTGCCGCTCTGTCGCTGTTTCCATGGCTTGTGTTCTGGCGCGCTACATTCCTTATTCCGATTAATCCAGACCTTTACAAGTGGACCTAACATGCCACGTACACAAGTGTGAATTATCGCCGATTCCCTTAGTATTCCATAACAAATGAGTAAATTCCACTTTGAGAGCTTGTTCCCAAGAGCTGCTTTGTGGAACAAACTTCCAGCAGGATGTTTTTCCAATTTCAACAATCTCTTCAAGCTAAGATTTAACTGTTAACTTTCCTGCCTAAACCCATGATCGTCATTTGCCTTTTCTTACGGTCATACTGCACCACAGAATAAACCTCTACCTTCAGTGGCTCTTGAAACTTCTATTGGGTGAAGGTTACTATATAAGACAATGTCTGGACGAGAAACAATTTTGTTTGGTTTGGTTTATTCTGTTTTACGGTATATCAACCTCAATGTGTTATTTAATAGCGACAGCATTTTTAGGATAGGTTCGTATGAATAGAATCTGTATTCTTTGTAAGAAATCAGTTTGTAAATCAGGTTTCATTGTCGTACTTTTGTAAAGAGGGTTTTTGTCGAGAGTCTGGTTTGGCTTATTTTGTTTTACTACATATCAACACCTCAATGGATTACTTAATGCCGACAAGATTTTTTTAGGATAGGTTCGTATGAATAGAATATGTATTCTTTGTAAGAAATCAGTTTGTAGATCATGTTTCATTGATGTATTTTGGTAAAGACGATTTTTTGTAGAGACTCAAATATATTGCTGGTAATATTTTTTTAAAATTATTTTTTACAGAAACGTATCGCTGGTAATTTTTTTTTATTATGAAAATGTATTTCTACACTTTTATAGTGTTTTGACTTCAGTTTGGAGTTTTACTATCTACCCATAGCCGGGACCCTAACAGGTGCTACCACCCAGGCTCAGGGTGGGCCTGGGAATAACATCAATTAAGAGGTGGTTCCACGCTCCTCAAAACCTTCTGATCAGAGACCTTGCTGCCGGATGTAGTTTATCGTCATACCCAGGACGGAAACAATTTTGTAATTTCTATCTGAATTTCTGGGGTAAATTCAAGGTAAGGCTTCAAGAACACCAGAAAGCTGTAACGCGAGGGGAAGTAGAAAAATCAGGCGTGGCTGACCACATATGGAGAGAGAAGGGAGATCACCGCCCCCTGTGGGATCATGTTGAGATCATAGACAGGGAACACCATTGGAAAATTCGTAAACTTAAGAAATCAGCACATATGCTAGGCCACAAAAATCTCCTGAGCCGACCAAGCATAGAAATACATACAATATGGGAACCAGTAATAAGGAGTGCCAGAGAAAAGCAATGATAACAAAGTTGCAATATGAGCTCTGGTAAAAACATAATATGATAACAGCAAAAAAGTTGCAATATGAGCACTGGTAAAAAATGATCCTGAAAACATTAGGTTTATAATACCCAGAAATTCATACCCAGATGTCATCAAGGACACATGGCACAGTGGATAAAGGCGTTGGTTAGATAGGACCCAAAGAGTGTGAGTTGAATACCCGGTTATGTGGAGAACTTTCAGAGGGAAAATTAGCAGGAGATAACTGATAACTGACATCCATCAAACATGGCACGTGAAACTAGAACAATCTACCCCAGTGATCGAAATAAAGGGTTCAGTTCGAAATTCCAACCACCTGAAGAAGGCCGGAGCGTACAACGGCCGAAACGTTGTGACAAATATGGCGACAAAGATGAGGACAAGATGAGTCCGACTAATGTAAATACTGTACATAATACCTCATCTCAGAAATATAGACAGACTCATTCGGACTAATGTTCAGATGTTTGTTTGTTTTCCATGGTGTTAGTTTTAAATATTGTTTTTTTTTTCTTTTCCACAGAGACATGCTACAGTTGGGATCTTCTGTTTCCTGGGAAGATGCTTTGGAGAAAATAACTGGCAAGAAAAAAATGGATGCTTCGGCGATGCTTGATTATTTTGAGCCGCTTAAAAAGTGGCTGAAAAACCATACGGACGAGTCGACAATCGGCTGGTCATGTAAAAACGTGATCAAAACTTCGTCATCATCTACGTCTAAAAAAGAGCCTTTTAAAACATTTATTTTATTAAGTGTTTTTTATGTATCAATTTGGATCAATTTTTAATTTTTGTAGCTTCAGTCAATAAATAAAAAAATACATTATTACAGTTTTGCTGTTAATTTGATGCCAGTAAATCTGCTTCTTTTATTAGCTAGCAGTAGAGCCCGGCGTTGCACGGGGATGTAACAGTAAGAGATAGATCAAGTATCGACCATCATAAAGACTGAAAAATAAAATTGACAAAGATTATTGTTTAAGGTTGACAGACATGCATGTCTTAATTAGTTTTTGTTTTTTTTTACGAATTGGTCAAACACAAACTCAAACAAAAATATTGTTTTCAATCGTTATGAGTCTACCAATTGAATAGAATTTTATTATAAACAATTGTCTTGTAAATGGAATTTTAAAGTATTCTGAGTGTAAAAATAAAAAAAAAAAAAGTGTGCAAGACAATAAGAAACACTACCTGCCAAAAAAGTGAAATTTTGTTGAAATCGGTTGAAAAATGTAGGAAATCCGATCCCATATATAAACGAAGACACACACACACACACACACATACACACACACACTCACACACACACAACCTGGGTTTTATAATAAGTATAACTCGATATGAGTTGTCCCCCTTTCATTCTCGCGACAGCGATGCCTTAATAGTGTTTTCAAATTGATTTTGTGCAAAAACAATTGTGTTTTTCCAATTTTGGGCGCTGTCAGAACCACCGCAAGGTAATTTTACGTAGTCCCGTGAAGTTTTGTTGAAATCTGTTGAAAAATGTAGGAAATCCGATCCCATATATAAACGTACACACACAAACACACAAACACACACACACACACACACACACACACACACACACACACACACACACACATAATCTGCGTTTCATAATAAGTAAGATTCTTCATTCCTTCAGGATGTCGCCGATCAAGCCCTCCACAACTTTCATTCTTTAGTTTTTTTAAATAAATATTAATTCTTTACCATCTCGATTTGTCCTTATTCTGCCATCCATATGCTTCTCATTTTATATGCCGTGTCGATTCAGGACGTAGAGGATAATGGCTCTCCACAACTTCCTGTTTTTGCGGCTTTAACCAACATTTTTTTCTTTACTATAACGTTTTATTCGTGTTCTGTCATCTCTATGCTTCTTTTTCGTTTTTATGTGTCATATCCCTTCAGGACGTGGATGATCATGGCTCTCCACAACTTCCTATTTTTGCTGCTTTAACCACATTTTTATTCTTTACCCTCCTTCTTTTTTCGTGTTCTGTCATCTCTATGCCTCTTTTCGTTTTTATGTGCCATATCCCTTCAGGACATGGACGATCATGGCTCTCCATAACTTCCTATTTTTGTTGTTTAGTCACCATTTTATTCTTTACCATCCCTCTCTGTTCTTGTTCTGCCATTTCTATGTTTCTTCTTCATTTTTATGTGCTATGTACCTTCAGGACATGAGCGATCATCGCTCTCCACGACTTCCTGTCTGGTTGGTCTAAGCAACTTTTATCCCTTTACCATCTCGATTTCTCCCTTTTCTGCCATCCATGTACTTCTTCATTTATGCGCCGGATTCTTAGAGGATGTGGATGGTCATGGCTCTCCACAACTTCCTGTAACTTTTTATTCTTTACTATTCTACTTGTATTTGCTCTGCCTTCTAGAAGTTTCTTTCTGTACCATCTTGGACATATCATTTCGAGACGTGTATAATCATAGCTCTCCGCAACTTCCAGTCTTTGCTTGGTCAAAATAAATTTTATTCCTTTATCATTCCTCCTTTTCCTTTTTTTTTCTGCAATTCATATGCTTCTTTTTATGTGCCGTGTTACTTCATGACGTGGATAGTTATGGCTCTCCACAACTTCCGGCAATCTATGCAATTTCTAGAAATTAATTTTTGTAATTATTTATATTATTCGGGCTATTGTCCTCATCTTTGTCGCCATATTTATCACAATGTTTCGGCCGTTGTACGCTCCGGTCTTCTTCAGGTGGTTCGAATTTCGAAATTCCAACCATCATAAATATGGCGACAAAGATGAGGACAATAGTCCGAATAATGTAAATAGTGTACATAATACCTAATCTCAGAAATATAGACAGATACTGAAAGACCGAAACGTTGTGATAAATATGGCAACAAAGATGAGGACAATAGTCCGAATAATATAAATAATGTACATAATACCTCATCTCAGAAATATAGACAGATACTGAAAGGCTGAAACGTTGTAATAAATATGGCGTCAAAGATGAGGAAAATAGTCCGAATAATATAAATAATGTACATAATACCCCATCTCAGAAATATAGACAGACTCTAATTTTTGTAATGCTTAATGTTTATACAATTTCCAAGCAGAATTTAAATTATCAATTTTTTTGTAACCCAAGACATCGATTTACGGGAAATCTGCTCTGAATCGTAAAAGAAAAATGTTTTAAAACTAAGATATTATTTAATTAGAAAAGATTTTATGAATGAAATATCTTATGGATACTATTTTCTTGACAAATTTGTTTTTTGATGATTAATGAATTTTTGCAAGAATTGTTTTAATTTTTTTAATTTTAAAAGTAATAATTTAGAAAGTTTTAAATCTTTTGAGTGTCTGAATTAATTAGGTAATATTACTAAATAAAAAACTATGTTTACTAATCATAAATGAAAAAGCTTACTACAATTCAGCGATCCACATTATTTTAAAAAGAATTTTGAATCTTTTGTGTGTGTATATAAACCTGGAGATTTTTGTAAATATGGAAGACCATACAAGATATTATCAGAAAACGAGTGATAACTAGTAAATTTAAAGCGACAGTACCTAAAATTCAATGAAACATAATAACGGATAATATCTTCCTAAATTTTTAAGATTACACTGTATTTAAAAATTATATAAAAAGGCGCTTACGTTATATTCCTCAAATAAATTTTATAGATAGATACAGCGTAGAACAAAATTAGATAAACTTCCGTCTGTCAGTCAAGAAGTCAACTTGTCAAAATGTTAAATAAATAGCTGCCGTGTGTTAAAAATGCATTTCCGCGATGTTTTAAACAAAAAATGAGTAATATTTGTTTCAAATCAGATTAATCAAATCTTAAATCAGTTAATAATATTTCTCAAATAAAGTTTCAGAAAAATACATTCTATTTTTTAAAGATTTTTTTAATAAAGAGAATTACATTACATTGACCGAACCCTGAAAATTAAAACAGAGATGCTATGTTCAAAACGAAAACTCTTTCCAGTCTAAATTAGCTTTGAAATGCCACAAAGCATTTTGCTTATTGGAAATATTAAATTTAATCTATTAGCTTGAAATTAAGACTAAAATAAAAGCTTCAAGAAAGAGTTTTTATTTCAGAAATTAATTTTAAACCTCAGGTGTCGCGTTTCTGTGAAGTTATCTAAAATCGTCAAACTTTATTTTTACGGTAAAAACTAAGGGAGATAATTATGAAAAATTATCATAGCAAAAGGATGCTTTCTCGACCATTACAATTTTAACCTCTTTAAGTCTAGGGTTAATCATTTCCTTTTTCCCATATTCGCATAAACTGTGCCCCCCCCTTACTGCTCACATAACACCCACCTTCAGTAACCCTCTCTAACTTGACTGGCTTCCTTTTTTTTTTTTTTTTTTTTTTTTTTTACAACGGAACACAAGTGCGTCATATCAGAAGAAAGATATATGTTTAACAGCAAGACGCAGGCTTTGAATAAAATTTCTTTGCGAATACAATGTTGATGGATCTTAGCGAAAACATAACACGTACAAAGCAAGAATTTAAACCATTGTGCTTAACAAAGGTTTTAACTTCCCGTTAAAAATGTGGAGCTGTTTTCTCGAAATATTGGAAGTTAACAATAACAGAAAAAATGGAAGTTTGGGAATTTTAAAGCAAGATTCTTCGGTGTTTCTTAAATATGTGATCGACCAGAACAACACATCACGTGATCTACGAGTTGAGGAGATTCTCTACATTCAAATAGACATTAAAAATAGATATATACGGAATAAGACAAAATAAAGAAAAAGTAGTCTTTATTTAATATGCTATAATAATGTACCACACGAATAATACCATATGATAAAAAGGTCTGGTTTATATACAAAAACTACTATTCATTGTGTGCCACTTTAGGGTTGTTGGGTTCAGCGTACCCGGATTAAAGGAGAATTTAATACGGGATACCCTGCCCACAAAATATAACGCAAATTTCAAGAATGAACAACACGATAAGGAACGTTTGTAGAAAATAGAACATTGTATATTTATTATCTTGTGAATAGGGTAAAAAAGATTAATGTTTTAGTTCGTTTAAGCAAAAATGTGATTTTGACAGAAAATGTCTGTGTTCGCTGTCTTTCAACAGAGTAACAGAGTAATGTCTGTTTCTTTTGTTTTTGTAGAGTGGTAAAGGAAAAAGAGGCTATCAATTTAAGTTGAAAAAAGAGAGTGTGAATGAGGAATAAAGATAAAAGGAAAATGTACTTATGAATTGTTTTGGAGTCAGTTGTAAATTTGTTGTTGTTGTTGTTGTTGTCCTTTCCTAATCCACTTTCGGCTCTTAGTGTCGGGTTGAGTCATTGATGAAATTTACTGTCAGTCTTCTCTCCTCTATGATTTCTGCGCCCTTCTGACTCGGCGACTGACTTGAAATTCTGTATTTATTGTTGACTTTTTTTTTACACTTGCTCGTTATCTTTTTTTGGTCAGAAAATTAATTTCATACCTTATTGCGAAATCTGTTTTTGATCGTTTTGATCCGATTTTGCGGGTGTGCAAATCTACTTTGTGTTTTTTAGTCATTTGTTGGAATGATATAGGATTTGTATCCTATAGGGTTTACTAAAGAAAATTTGCGCACATAGATAATTCACTTTAAGGTAAATCACGTATCTAGCATTCTTTTATTGCCGTTAATTAAATATACGCGACGAATTTAATCAAACTTTCTGATTTCCGTATTGTTGATGAAATATTGTCGAAAGCTTTAGGGATTTTAATCATGGGATTTACAGAGAAAGTGAGAGA